GCTCATGGAATCAGATGTTACAAGATGCTTCCAATCAGGTAAAACAATTGAAAATAAGGTCCCATGTAGGAGGATGGATGCAAAAGCCAGCTGCGTTTAAATCTAAACTCCGTTGATCTCTGAGCACATGACTTAAGGCTGCAAGCTCAGCGTCCTCAGTCAGAATCGACACAATGGGATAAGTACAGAGTGCCTACCTCAAAGGGATGCTCTCAGGCTCAGGGAGAAAATCCATGTAAGATACTGCACCACGACTGGCACAAGGTCAAGGCTCCATTCAAGTCAGCAGTTCAGTCTTAAAATGAACTGAGGCCCAGAGAGACCTCAGCTGAGTGGTAAGTAACCGTCCTAAGAATGTGTTTAAAACTCTACTCGCTTAAGGAGCGTCACTGTGAACGAAGCACTGGCAATTACATTCTGGACACTGCCAAGACCTTGTTTTATGAAAAAATTATTGCGGCTGCCTTATTTCCGTAAACAAAACAAAACCGCTCCTAGAAATCCATTCTGGGTGAAATTTGTTTTCACCCACGCAGGCCGAGGGAAGTGGTTTGCGACCGGGGCTCGCAGGGACAGGCCGGGAGGAGAGCTAGCCGGCCAGTCGGCAGTCAGTCCTTGCGGAGCCCGGTGCGAGGGCCGCAGCCTCGCCGGCCTGTCTCCAAGGAGCTCACAGGCAGGCTGTCTCCTCCCGCAGCCGGGAGCCCTGAAGGAAACGACGAGCTCCGCACCCGGGGCCCGCCCACGAGCCCGCCCGCCTGCGCGCATTGGTCGCCTCGAGGCCCACGTCCCGCCCTCCTGCGCGCATTGGTCGCCTCGAGGCCCACGTCCCGCCCCTAGATTTGAAAGCTGGAGAACCGGAGGCGTTCCGGAAGCCCCGCCCACTCCCGGCGTGCAGTGCGCTGCTCGGGCCGCCATTCTTTGAATTTAGCATCGCGCTGGTGTTTAAGGTTCTGGCTGCGCTGGTGATGATAGAAGGTGAAGTGATACGCGGTCGAGGCTGGGGAACGAGGGGGCAGCGACTGGGTCAGGTACCGGGCCTGGGGTGAGGGAACGGCCGTGTGTCAGGAACTCGGTTGAGAACGGCTCGGCGAGAATCAAGCCATTTCACTTGGGTGATCTCCACCCTGAGTGGCACATAAGGGTTCGCCTCATTTTCTTAGGCCTCAGTGTCCTCCTGGTGCCCACTTGGGACCCTTGTCTGGATTGAATGGTCTCGTGCCACCCTGTTGGCACGCAGGGGGACTGTGGCCAGTTACGAATGACAGTGCTGTCGTTGTTGTTGTTGGCGAGGCGCTGGTGCCCGGCCTACTTCCCTCAGCTGAGCAGTGTGCCTGAGCTGGCCGCTTTCTCGTCCTGATTGATGGCCATGGGATCCTGGCAGGGCTTGGTGCCAGGCGCAGGGGCTGGGTTCCCATGTGGCAGGGCTTGGTGCCAGGCTCAGGGGCTGGGATGTGGCAGGGCTTGGTGCCAGGCGCAGGGGCTGGGTTCCCATGTGGCAGGGCTTGGTGCCAGGCGCAGGGGGTGGGTCCGTGTGCCCGTGATCATGGGAGCCCTTCAGGGTAGGCTACACCCCGCCTCTTCCTAGTCCTGTTTCTTGGCTGCCTCCTTGGTAACCGACTCGTTGGACACACGTTGTTGCCCTATGAGTTGTCTTTTGAAGTCTCTGCTTAAGCTTCATTGAGCTTTGTTGAGAAGGGAACATGCTTAGGCAGTTTATCCAGGAGTAGCGTGGCAGCATGCATATGATGTGTTCCATTTCCTAGACCCCACGTTCCAAGGTACCAAGCGATAAAATGTTAATATATGATATGATTAATATTATAATATGTAGTATTATTGCAGTATAGAATTAGCGTACATTTTTTGAGGTTACATATTGCGCACCACATTCAGAAGCCCCATTCAAGGGCAGACTCTGGTTTTTCATTCAAGTCTTCAGTCACAGGAGCTTGCGGGAGAGAAGCTGGAGTTTTACAGTCATGAGACTGTTCTTTCCAATGAGAAATGAGATCTTGAATCCTGCTGGCACTTGAGTAGGATCTTTTTTTTTTTTTCCTTCCTGCAAAGGAATTTTGTGGGGTTTTTTTTTGTTTGTTTGTTTGTTTTTTAACCATTTTTTCTCTGCTGGACAGAGAATCTTTGTCTTGTAAGCCTGTGACTTTGTTGTAAAGTCCTGTCTTAAGGTGTCATCCAGTCAGAAAGGCCACTCACCTAAGCCTTCTGAGATGTAAGAAATGACACATATCTGAGCAGTTTTAGATATATTAGGGAGTTGTTTATTCATTGAAAATGAGCATGTGAACAAATACAAACTGCCTTATTACAGCATTTTTGGGGGAGACAGAACTATTTTTAACGAACATTTTGTCAGTACCTTAAAATCAGCACCATTCGTGGAAGCCAGAGTCGAGGTTACCTTCCGTGTTGCAGGTGTTTGCAGGAAGTACACAATGTGAACTAGTGAGTTAGTACTCTCATGCTTTTGGCAAACTTTTCTCCTGTGTTTCACAGCAGTGATTAGTCTTCACTATACTGAAATTTTTTTTTTGAATGGCACAGTGACAGAAAGAGAAAGATCTTTCATTTCTTTTGGTTTGCTTTCCAACTGCCCATGATAGCCAGGCTGGAACTAAGAGCTAGGAACTCTGTCTGGTTCTGCTAGAAGAGAGGCAGGAATCCAAGAACTAGAATGTGGCATATGGGCTTACCAAGAAGCTGCTTAACTCCACGATGCCACAGTATCTGCTACTGTGCCACTTTTATTAATTTTCACCCATACATTGCCTGTTTGGAACAGTCTATCAATAGTTTAAGCATGAAAGATATAAAACCTGTTGAATTATATAGTTGGTTTTGTTGTTTACGTGGGCCTTGTCAAAAGCAAATGTGTGGCTTCTTTAGCCTGATTTATTATTCAGGAGGAAAACCAGCGGTGCTGTGACAGTTTGATAATTTCAGGGGTCAAGCAGAAATGTGGGGTTGTGTGGCGGTGGCGAACAACAAGCTTTATTTGGACAGTGGTTTGACAGAATTACCTGCTGCAGCAGCCCCTCGTTGTCGGCCTTGCCTTAGGAGTGGTTAGGGGCTTCCATCTAAGGGGATCAGAGGCAGAGAAAATTAAGAGAGAAGGAGAAAAACTAATGAAGAACTTATTTGTCTAAGTGGCATTGCTCCTCTTCCTAGTGCTTGGTGGCTTCCGGGTCATATACCTTGGAAAGCCTGCAGTAGCCTGAGGTCCTGCTTGTCCCAGGTGTTCTTTGTGCTTAGCAGGTGTTGAATGTAGTTTCATGGGATGTGCATGTCAGGTTGACTCTAAATGGCTGATGCGTCTCTGGGCTGTATTTAAAGCAAATGGATGGATGTATATTTAAATTTGGTGCTGCAATGCAGTTTCTGCCCCCTCTCCCCAATAACTTTGCAACAGATTTTTAGTTTTGCTATAGGTTATACATCTGTAACTGGTGTTTTCTTTTTTTTTTTTTTTCCTTTTTAAAGATTTATGTATTTTTATTGAAAAGGCGGAGAGACAGAAAGATCGTCCATCCACTGGTTCACACTCCAATTGGCCTCAACAGCTAGAGCTGAGCTGATCTGAAGCCAGGAGCCTCTTCTGGGTCTCCCACGTGAGTGCAGGGTCTCAAAACTTTGGGCTATCCTCCACTGCCCTCTCAGGTCACAAAGAGGGAGCTGGGTGGGAGTTGGAGCAGCTGGGACATGAACCAGTACCAATATGGAATCTTGGAACTTGATGGTAGATTAGCCAATTGATCCATGTAACAGTGTTTGAAGCCTAAAGAAAGAACTTTTCTCTTAAAATTTGACTGTGTGTATACTGTTATTTGTCTGGGTTCAGCACACTCAATGCCACAGTTTCTTGGACTGTCTGTGCTGACATCACCAAGCTTTGTCTACCTAACAGACTTTTGAACTAGTTCCTGAAGCCAGGAATCCCAGTTTGAGAGCTGCTGTTCTGGATGTCTTATCGTCTTGTTAAAGGGCAGCGCACTGAGTGCTCGCCTTCTCCTTGGTGTTTGGCACCTGGTAGAGTCTCTGTGAATTTTTTGAGTATTAATATATCTTAGTAAGATCACCCTTCAGCTTCCCTTTACATTTAATCTGATGTTTCATTCACTTATAATAGTTCACTGAGGCATTATTTCATATTTTACTTTTTAAATTGAAAGTAATATTCTAGGTAACTGAGTTCCAATGCAAAGACAAAGTCTAGACCTTATCAGTGTTTGCAAGATGCTAAGTAATTAAAACGACACAGAGGGCCCTGTGTGGTAGCCTAGCAGTTAAAGTCATCTCCTTGAACATGCTGGGATCCCATATGGGCACCGGATTCTAATCCTGGCAGTGCCACTTCCCATCCAGCTCCCTGCTTGTGGCCTGGGAAAGCAGCCAAGGACGACCCAAAGCCTTGGGACCCTGCACCCGTGTGGGAGATCTGGAGGAAGTTCCTGGCTGTTGGCATTAGATCCGTGCAGCACCAGCTGTTGCGCTCACTTGGGGAGTGAATCAACGGGAAGAAGAGCTTCCTCTCTGTCTCTCTTCCTCTCTATATCTGACTTTCCAATAAAAATAAATGAATCTTAAAAGACACAGAGTTTAACTTTATTCTTTCATCTTCCTACTACTTACTCTCTGAGAAGATGTCAGGGAAGATGGGATTATTTTATGCTGCCTTACTCCACAGATGACCTTTACTGACCAAATCTTGTTGGATGAATCTGTTCAACGTTTGAGTCTGATAAAAAGTATTAGGCCGTGTCTAGTATTATTAGACTCAGAATCCATAAATGTAGTGTGATTTTTTTTTTTCTCTTTTCCATAGGTCATTGTAATGTCAATAAAGTAGACTAAGATTCTCCCTGCCTGAAATCTGGTTGTTTGAAATGGAGTGAAGTAGTAGGCTGAACACTTAGGCTTTTTAAAGTTAGAGTGGCTTACATTGTTATTTATTAAAGTTGTCTTAAAAAATATGGTTATTCTTACAGAATGGAGTCTAATTTGAATCAAGATGGAGTGCCTAGGCCATCTTATGTTTTTAGTGCTGACCCAATTGCAAGACCTTCAGAAATAAATTTTGATGGTATCAAGCTTGATCTCTCTCATGAGTTTTCCTTAGTTGCTTCAAAGACTGAGGTAAGTGTAAGAAAAGTATTGTGAAGATTATTTGATTGAATGGAAATGTGTATGTGTAGGTACATTTTTTACTGTACCTAGAAGAGATACCCAAACTCTCTGGGGCAGTGATGTATCAGTAACTTTCTTATGGAAGCTGTGAGCTGCAAAAATTATTAGGCATCCCTTTTCAAGTCTTAACAACTTAGTAAGTATCTTTGCCTTAACCTAGTAGCCAGTTTAGGCAAATAATATGAAAAGAAAATTTTTGAATATTTTACCCTTTCATGACCCTCTAGCAATGTTATTGATGAGATAGGTGCTTATTGGGCATTCTACAACTTCTTAAACCTTGCAACCCAACTAGACTTCAACCACCCTCATTTGCTGATTTTCACTGTTTTGAAATAGTGCTAAGCTTGTTTATCATGGGCAGTCACTGAAAGATGCCGTTATCACATATATGACCAAACCAAGAGGGAAATATGATATAAAGTGGAACTGTACCTGCTTAGCCATTCGTGATTACCGGCATGGCAAGCACTGCTGTGATTCCCTTCAAAATGTGAACTATGGGGGATGTCAAAGTTCGTAGGAAAATGGAATTAAAGATGAGGTTCATTTTAGTTCAATAGCATTTTGAAATTTATGCATAGTTTTTTCAAAAAATCTGTCTTCTACACAGGTTCTTCTGTATTCTGCCCTGCCCCCAGGAGTTATGTCCCTTAATTTTCACAACAATAGAGATTTTAACAAATTCTGTAACTCAGTAGTATTTAAACTAAGAGGTCGAGTCCTTCTGCTGTCTTACCTAGCTTATGGACATTCTTGAATATATACTTTAAATGACTTTATATTGTATTTATTACATTTTAAGTTATTAATTTTGATTTCTTAAATATGAACTTACTCTTTTTTAACATTTATTATTTATTTCTCCTTGAAATTCAAGAGTTACAAAGAGAGAGGGAGAGAGAGATTTTTAATCTGCTGGTTCATTCTCCAGATGGCTTCAGTTGCCAAAGCTGAGCTGATCTGATGCTGGGAGCCAGGAGCTCCTTCCGGTTCTCGTATGTGGATGCAGAAACTCAACGCTTAAGGTCCACCTCTGCTGCTTCCCCAGGCCATTAGCAGGGAGCTGGATTGGAAGTGGAGCAGTCAGAACTCGAACCTGTGCCCATATGGGATGTTGAATTAGCCTGCTATACTACTTTGCTAGCCCCTTGAACTGACCCATTTTATAGAGTAGCACAATGGAAGTTAAGACACACAGATAAAAGAATAATACTGGGCCCAGCACAGTAGCCTAGCGGTTAAAGTCCTTGCCTTGCACATACCAGGATCTCATGTGGACACCAGATCGTGTCCCAGCTGACCCACTTCCCATCCAGCTCCCTCCTTGTGGCCTGGGAAAGCAGTTGAGTACAGCCTACAGCCTTGGGACCCTGCACCTGTGTGGAAGACCTGGAAGAGGCTCCTGACTCCTGGCTTCGGATTTGCTCAGCTCTGGCCTTTGCTGTCGCTCTGTTTATCTGACTTTCCAATAAATATAAAATAAATCTTTAAAAAAAGAAAAATACTTATTTAGTATTTGTGATGTTTCAGGTTTAAGTATTTTGACACTTTAACTTATTTGCCATAAATGAATATAAAGCAGAGGAAAGGAACTCTGTAACATGTGCTTTTAGTATATAATGGAAACTATTTATTACATACTTGCTTGTGTCTGCCTTCATTCATTTAACAGAATGATTTGCAAATAATTACCTCTCTTTTTAGTGCTTATTTTTTTAATTCGTTCACAAGCTAGGAATGGTTTTTACATTTTTAAATAGTTGTGGATAAAAGAATGTTTAATGACTTGAAAATTATATGACACTTACCTGCCTATAATTAAAGTTCTGTTGTGTCATGCTACGTCGTCGTCTCGCAGCGATGGACTTGGTGCACGGAGCCGATAATAACACGCATGGACCCTGACAGATGCTCAAACCCGAAGTTTATTAGTGGCATCAGACTTTATACACTGAGAGTCATATGGGCTAAGGGAGGAAGTATTGAGCTCATCAACAAAATCCAGTAACAGTTTTATGTTTTTGTTTGGAACTCCTTTTGTCTTGTATATTGCACCAAGTGTTCTCACACACATACTGCCCATTCAACTGTTCTTATACAAATGATATCCAATCAGGTATACAAAAGGTAGCCAATCAGTTGTTCTCATGCAAATATTATCCAATCAGCTGTAATCCTGTGCTTGCTGACCCTCTAGGGTCACAATGTCCTCCTACAAAGCTAGACTCACTGGTGTACATATTTTCTGTATTTTGCACTGTATTGTTCAATAGTTGTGGCAGAGGCTATCGGGTCTATAGAGCCTAAAATATTAATGATCTGTTTTTGGGTCATCATACATGGTAGGTTAGTAGTTTGTTGCTTTTGTCTTTCTTTGTAATAGTTCTTGTGCGTAAGTGCCACGTTTGCATTTAGGATTCATTGACACTTAGGTGGTTTTGGTTTTGGACCATTACAAATAACGTTGCTTTAAGCATTCTTTGGCAGGCCTCTCTGTGGACCTACGCATTCACTTTGTCTTAAATACTTTGAGCAAAAATTAGGCAGAGATTTTGTTTTTTTTCCCCCCATGGTTCTATCTGGGAGTCATCATAGAATGTTTATGTGAGTTGATAGATGAGCCCAGGGATCTAGGTTGCTATTCTTTTTTCGGTTTTTTTTTCAGGTTTTGAACACTCATCTGTTTTGGTATCACTTACATATACTGTAAAAGCTTTCATTTCCTCATTAAGTTGTTTGTAAAGATTATTTATTTGAAAGGTAGAGTTACAGAGGAAGAAAGAGAGACAGAGAGAGAAAGGTCTTCAATTTTCTAACCTATTCCCCAGTATTGGGTCAGGCAGGAGCCAGGAGTCTGAAGTTTCATCTGGGTTCCCGTGTGTGTGTAGGAGCCCAGTTACCTCTGCCATCCTCTGCTGCTTTAGCAGGGAGCTGGATTGGAAATAGAGCAGATGGGACTTGAATCGCTGTCCGTGTGGGATGTTGGCATTGCAGACCATAGCTTCACCCACTATGCCAAAATGCCAGCCCTTCATTAAGTTGTTTGGATGACTTTGTTAACAGTGTCGACTACATTTTTGGTTTAAAATACGTTTGTGATGCCTGTATTCTGCATTGGAGTACACAGGATTGAGTCCTTGCTCCATGGCTGATTCCAGCTCCCTGCTAATGTGCGGCAGAAGTGGCTTACATACTTGGTTCTTTGCCACCCATATCTGAGATCCAGATAGAGTTTCTGTTTTCTGACTTTGGCCTAATTCTGCCCTGACTGTTGTGAGGTTGTTTTGGCTGTGAACCAGCAAATGCAAAATTCTCTCATTCTCTTTCTGTCACTCTGCTTTTTAAATAAATAAAACACAAAATATTGTTCTTTTTTTTTTCAAGGTAAACAACTTGGAATCAAAAGATTATCTCCAGGTTTGTCTTCAAATAAGACCATTCACACAGTCAGAGAAAGAACATGAATCAGAGGTTTGTATTACATTTTTTTTTTTTTTCCCGCTAGGGAAAAGGGGAGACACTGCTCTTTTTTTGGTCAAACTACATTTTTAAAATTTTATTGGAAAGTCAGATTTACAGAGAGAAGGAGAAACAGATAGAAAGATCTTCCTTTTACTGGCTCACTTCCTAAATGGCCACCATGGCTGGAGCTGAGCTGATCTGAAGCCAGGAGTTTCTTCTGGGTCTTCCACATGGTGCAGGGTCCTAAGAACTTGGGCCATCCTTTTTTGCTTTCCCAGGCCACAAGCAGGGAGTTGGGAGGGAAGTAGAACAGCTGGGGCGAGAACTGGCACTCATATGGAATCCCAATGAATGTGAGGTGAGGATTTAGCCACTGAGACATCATGCTGGGCCCACTTGAGTGCCTTTGATAATTCTGGAACATTTCGGCTTTGCTGCATGAGGATTGAGTGCCAGAGGCCAGCTCTTGCTGAGTCTGGACCTCAAGACGGTGTGTGGATACAGCGAGGAAAAGAGACAGGACAGTCACTTGATGTCCTCTACTGACAGCTCAAGAAGCTCGTTTTGATTCTATCAGACACATCACAAACTTCTGCCCAAACGTTTGATTGTTCTATTTTTAACCTCATGAGTAAGCTGGCATACACAGATGTTCAACTAATTAATTTTTTCTTCATGGTAGACCAGGTGCTCTTAAAGATAATTCTATAAGGTACTATAATCATTTTTCTTCAAAGGAAACCATTATTAATTCTTTAGTAGTAGCCACTGGGCAGCAGGCAGGACTGCAAGGCCAGGGCACATGCAATTAGATCTTAATCAGTAATACACTCCTACTACATTGCTATTGCTACAACTTGTCTATCATTTAATGGGAGAAATACATCAAAAGGGAAAAAAACCATAACAGTGCCAAGACAAAAGTTTCAAACATTAAATCTCTCTACAACTATAGACTCTATAACCCTATAAACAGTCAAACAATGATTAAAATCATATCTGTAATATTAATGGAAATACCCTAGAATTCCTCTAGCCAAAAAATTATAAAAGTGACTGAAACAGATACATTTTCTGTGATCCAAAGATTTGCAAGGACAGGCTAGCCTTTGAGGTCACAGTAACTATGTTTATTGTCATAGTAGTTTCAACTCATGCTCCCATCGCTTTCTTTAATTTTTGAGATTCTTACCAAGCCGTTTCTCAGAAAGCGTGATACATGTCTGGGCCAGATTTTGGGACAAAATAAGGTGTCCAGAAATAGCATGGACTTAATTGTACTCCTGTGTGCAAATTGTTAAAGGCCCACTCGCCAAGACATTATCAGCAACATTAACTCCCAAAGCTCACATTGGCTGCAAAAGCCATCTCACAAGGGCGAACAACACTGCCTTAGTAGATTACAGAATTCTTAGCAGGGTGGTTGAATGTCCATGCAAAGGGGATAAAACTGTGTCGAGGTGGTTAGAGAAACATCCGCCAGGCCTTGCCATACAGCTGGAAGCCTTGCCAACAGGGGAGCTATTCTCCTTACACCTTCATGTCATCTACACACACTGCATGGACCCCAGCATTTGAGGAAAATTCAGGGTCTATTGGTTGGCTCAAAGCTTTACTGTGAAGGCTGTCCAACCTGTTCTGCTTTCCATCCATTCTCTGATGAAACACTGTCTTCTGCTGGCTAGATGAGCTGGCTGTCATGTCCCCATATGTGCATCTGGTCATGCTGTCCATTGCATAGACATCAGTAGCTGAGGAGGCCCAGTAGTAATATGTGCACTCCAAGATCAGACTGTATTACTTGTGATTCTCCCTGTGGTTGGTTTTGAGTCCAGCAATCTAGTTGGAGTGTGCCTCAAGAAATGTTGCTTGGGATGACCTCAGACTTGACTCTTGTGTGTATCACCCAGTGCAGGATAAGGTGTGGTGTATCACCTGCAGCAGCCAGTGCACATATGGGTGGATGCCACAAGTCTGATCTTCATGTACTCCAGCAGGTGCCATGACCTAGTCAGGTAATCTCCAATAACCCTCACCAGGCCAACAGGACTTGAAGTTTAACAAGGTAGTCTCTGCAGTTCCCCCACTAAGCTGCTCTCAATCCGAGATGTTATGTGTGCTAGTGAGTGCTTTGACTCAGCTTGATGTGGCTTATTCTGAGCTTTCACTGGCCAGTGTTGCAGCCCACATCCCATCCTATCTCTTGTGCATGTCAGCTGATTCTCTGATCTGACCCAGCCTAGTCTGCCCCAGATCTCGCCCAGTCCTGTTGGTGAGCATGAGAGCCAGAGCTGGGGGTACGCCATGCTGGACAAGGCTGTAGTACCCTTTGGCATATGCGTAAGACGGGTCTGGGGAACCCATCAGGCTGAGATAATCCACAGTGCCCACTGGTTTGCCTAAGAGCTGGATGAGATATGGAGCATGCCAAGCTAGGCTGCAGCACAATCCAACAGAGGCAAAAACCAGGGCTGGGGGCAGGCCTGGTGAGAGTTATTGGAGGTTACCTGACTAGGTCATGGCACCTGCTAGAGTACATGAAGTACTGCCTTACCTTGCTAGCCTATCCCCAGTGCTCCCTAGTGGGAGCTATGTGCTAACAAGGGAGTACCCCAAGTCCTCTACGAGACCTATTCCTATCCCCACATCTCATGTGTGTTGGTGAGTGCCTTGGTTCTGTTTGGCATGGTTTCCATCAGACCTGGCTTTTGTATGTACTGGCAGGTATTATGCCCTGGCCAAGCTTAGCCTCCTGCCAGCTCCAGCTCCCACAGGTGTCCCCTTGAGTTCTACCCTTAAGCCTCGCCTGCCCTGTCACCACCCCCAGCTGTCACACAAACCAGCAGATGCTGCAGTTGCAGAGGTGAGCCCACAAACCTACAGAATTTGCTCCCAGATCTGCTTCTCTCACATTCTGATGGATGCTGCAGCTCAGTCTGACATGGCCCACCCCCTGCCCTGACACTCATAGGTGGGTGGCCTATTCCTGCCAGGCATGCTGCCTAGCCCCAGCTTTCATTTGCTGCTGTGGGTGGCGAGTGATGCTATTTAGTCTGGCCCAGGTATCCCATTTGGGCGGTTGTCTTGTCTGGCCCCAACATACCTCCAGTTTTTCCACTCTGAATCACTCTGTGTCGGTTCCCTCACCTACCTGCAAGTGCAGTGGCCTAGTCGGTGGAAGTCCCTAGAAGTCATTGCTTCCCTGTTGAACATACCCTCAGCTGTTCCCAATCAAATAAATCACCAGATATTTTTTCCTAGAAAATCTATCACCCCTGCTGCATGGCGCTGTGACTAGGGGCCCTGTATCCCCCATGTTTCTTAAAAACAAAACAAAACAATAAAACAAACAAAAAAGAAACAGAATATGCAACTATGCTAGCACAGTGGTGTCATTGACAGAATCTTGGCATTGACCAGTCCCAGAATGCCAACCAGCTATTGACTGTTCTCCTAGATTTGTAACACTTGCCTAGGTATAAGACAACCTAGGAATTTGTTTACAGCTGGAATGTTTGTATTACATTTAATTGAACTTTAATTTACTTTTTAAACATGTAAAATGCCATTGTTCTTATTTATGGTTGTGATGTGTTCTAGGGCTGTGTGCAAATTCTGGATTCACACAGTGTTCTCTTGAAAGAGCCTCAAAGCATCCTAGGTCACTTAAGTGAAAAAAGCTCTGGGCTGATGGCACAAAAATTCAGTTTTTCCAAGGTAAGTGCCTCTGTGAAACTCAACTTTTGCTTTATTATTTTAAAAGGAAAGAGATTTGTGTCTACCTTGTACGAGAAGGGCTATTATGAAGTTCTGGGAAGAGTTTTAGGAATTCTACACTCAGGAAAACCCAATGAGGCTCCTAGACAGAGATGAGGGAGAAGACCCATAACCAAATTCGAACTCCAAGTTGGATGTAGACTGTAGACCAGGCTCTTTCTTATGATGATTGCCTGGTCTGTCAGGAGTACTCTTCATTGTTTCTTGTAATTCAACTTTGGTTCAATATTCAAAACAAAAAGGGTGGTGAGAGACTTTGCTTATGTCGAATTCCTATATAAATATATATAATGAATCCTGTTTATGCAGCTTAGATCTTAGTTACTGGTATTTTTTCGTAAAAAGTAGGTCTGAAATTTCTGGTCTGAGGTAATAGAATCGAAAGGGAACAAATCATTTTACTGCTCTTAAAACTCCATTTTTAAAAAGAGATTTATTCACATGAAAATCAGTTTTAGAAACACGAAAAAGAGAGAGATGACCTTTGTTCTGTTGGCACATTTTCAAAATGATTTTAATAGCCTGAACCAACCTGGAACTAGGAGCCAGAAAAATCAATCTGGTTTTCTCACATGGTTGGCAGAGGCCCCAGCACTTGGGTCATCTTCCGACGCTTTTTTCAGGTACAATAATAACGAGTGGGACAGGAAGCAGAGCAGCTGGGACTTGAAGTGCCTGATGGGGATTGCTGGTATTACAGATGGTATATTAATTTGCTGTGCCAGAATGGTACCACTTTAACTACCCCTCAGCTAAATGTCCTTTTCAAGATTAAGATGAAAACTTGCTTTGCTGTTTGGGTCATATTTTTATCTTGAACATATTCTGATGTTTGAGAGTAGATATGTGGCACCTGTTTTAAGAATGAATCTGATAAAAACAAATTTTTGAAAGATGAGCAACAGAGTAGGTCTTACTAGATCTTACAATGAACTTGATTTAAAAATCAACTTGATTTAAAAAATGCATTTACTTATTTTTATTGTAAAGGCAAATTTTACAGAGTGAAGCAGAGACAGAGAAAAGTCTTCTGGTTCACTACCCAAATGGCTGCCACAGCCAGAGCTTGAACCGGTCTAAAGCCAGTAATCAGAAGCTTCCAGATTTCACATACAGGTGCAGTGTTCCAAACACTTGAGCTATCCTCCACTATTCCAGGACAGAATCAAGGAGCTGGATGGGAAGTGGGGCAGCCGGGATAAGAACTGGTGCCCATATGGGATGCCACGCTTAGAGGTGGAAGACCTCTAGTTTAGGCGTTGTGCCAGCCCTACACCAATTTGGATTTTGTAAAATGACCTGTCTTACAAATTCTTTCTTAGGTTTTTGGCCCAGAAACTACACAGAAGGAATTCTTTCATGGTTGTATTATGCAACCAGTAAGAGACCTATTGAAAGGACAAAGTCGTCTAATTTTCACCTATGGCTTTACCAATTCTGGAAAAACATACACATTTCGAGGTAAATATTGTTTTATTTTGGTTGGAAAGAAGTGAGATAATATTAGCTCAGTGTTCTCATAAAACTTTAATATAATTATATTTCTATCATTTAGTACTCATCTAGCATATTGAATATATATCTGTGATATATTTTGATTCAAATTTATTTTATTAGATAAAAAAACTATATTCTCAGTATGGTATAGAGTAAGATGATGAATAAAAGTCCAGAAAAAACATAGATGGAATTCAAGCAATTATGCATGGCTGACCAGGGAAACATATTTATATTACTTTTATGCTTTATGATTAGTGATTCCAAATATTAATGTTATGGCCAAATCTGAATATAGAACTTTAGGTTTTATGGTGAAGACCAAAGTGATAGAAAAGTGATCATTCATCATGTTTCTTGTTTTAGCTATTCTCTTTATTAACGGTAGCATAAAAATCTTGACATTCTGTGTTACCTTTTTCCTACCAGTCCTCTGAGAGACTATTACACAAAAATTATTATTGCAGGTACAGAGGAAAACATTGGAATTCTTCCACGAACTCTGAATGTGTTGTTTGCCAATCTTCAGGAAAAACTGTATACAAAGATGAACATTAAACCGAATAGATCAAGAGAATATTTACGGTTATCACCCGCCCAAGAGAAAGAAGAAGTTATAAACAAAAGTACATTGCTTCGGCAAATTAAAGAGGTATGGAGGTATTTCAGTATGTAATGGAATTAGTAATATAAATGTAATGTACATATTGATCTTTTATAAATTTAGGTCGTTTCAGCTATATTAGAAGATTTTTGTGTTTTTTCCATTTGAGAAAACATTTGAAGTTTCTTAGAAAACTAGTGCTTACATTATACAAGTAACAGCAGTCTTTAAACCTTATGAAGACAAGGGGTTCTGAAATCTTATTTGTTTGTATGTTTAAAATACTAATTTATAAAAATTCTGATTTTTATTTAAAAAAATTTTGGGTATACAAAATTTAAACATGGCAATTTTAAATGCTTGCTGAGAAGATGACGTTAGCAGATTGTAAAGTATCATTTCTGAAATTTTTCTCTATGTAAAACCCAAATAACATTTTTTGATATGTTTGTGTATACAGTTTTTTTTGTGTGTGTATGTGTGTGTATATATATATATATTCCATATAGTTTCATATCTTTGTAATACATGTAGTGTATTTTTTTTAAGATTTATGTATTTTTATTACAAAGTCAATATACAGAGAGGAGGAGAGACAAGAGAGGAAGATCTTCCATCCGATGATTCACTCCCCAAGTGAGCGCAACAGCCAATGTTATGCCGATCCAAAGCCAGGAGCCTCTTCCGGGTCTCCCACGCGGGTGCAGGGTCCCAAAGCTTTGGGCCGCCCTCGACTGCTTTCCCGGGCCACAGGCAGGGAGCTGGAAGGGAAGCGGGGTGCTGGGATTAGAACCGGTGCCCATCTGGGATCCCGGGCGTGCAAGGCGAGGACCTTAACCACTTGCGCCACTGCGCCGGGCCCCCAGGTCTGGGTTCTTATGTCAGATTTCCACCATGCTTTCCACAGCCCCAGCTCTTGGCTCACCACTCTCTACCTCCTGTGATACCGTGCTGAGGCTACACCATTGTCTCTGCAACCTTTCTCCCACTTCCGGTTCGAGCAGGTCCCAGGATTAGAGAGACACCAGGTGTCCTATCCTAGTTAGGTTGTTGGTGGCGCTGATCTTGTCGGAACATGTTGGACGTTAGGTCTGGGTGCCACACAGACCTATTTTGATACATACCATGCCACAGTCTATTATTTTCCTGTGTGACCTCAGTGAGTTCTCGTGAGTTCAGCACATGCGCAGTTTCCTGTTCCTTGCAGTCCCAAAGCTATTGCCACAGTGTGCAAAATGGCGCCTGAACGTACCACCACTACAGTTCTTGATCAGCTTGCCGTCAGGTCTTAGGGCTACCCAGACCTGCCCCAGATGGAATCCGTAGAATGCTGCGTCATTGCAGTTCACCAAGTCAGAAATGAGCTCACCCCCAGCTAGCACATGCTCTGTCCTTTCCCTTGCCTTTCCCTTGCTCTTTTCCTCCTTACACAAAATGGCACCCAATTCAGCTCTAGGGGCTGACTGGGCTATGAAATTCACTCTGTTCTCGCACTGCCCGTTTGAAATTTGCTGCTCTGTCTCTGCTCCTGGTCAAATCAAACGGACCAGCAGGACGGACAGTTCTTTGTCTGGATTCACCTCCCAAGCTTCCAGTGAAAGTCCCTTCCCACCTGGTTGCTGGTGAAGTTCCGGCTGCTGGTGGAGTTCAGATCGCCGTTAGCTGAATGCCGTCCTGGATATCGGTCACTGCAACACCACACTGCTGTGCCTGCTGCTTTCCTGTGTCTGTCAGCTTCCAGGTACCCCTCTACTGTTATTCTGCCTTTTCCTATTTCCTGAAATATGTCCTCTCTGCTTCATCCAGATTAAATGTTTCTCCCCATCTGTTTAAACGTGTCCTTACCCTATTCTGCCATCTTGATTCTTCAGGAAGTGTTTTTTGTTAAGGCTAAACGATAGTGCCTTTTTGGAGACTGCCTTAGTTTTTTTTTTTTTTTTTAAAGATTTATTTACTTTTATTGGAAAGACGGATTTTCAGGAGAGAAGGAAAGACAGAGAAAAAGTTCTTCCCTCTGCTTGTTCATTCACCAAGTGGCCACAAGGGCCAGAGCTGAGCAAGTCCAAAGCCTGGAACCAGGAGCTTCTGCGTCTTCTACATGGGTGCTGGGTCCCAAGGCTTTGAGCTGTCCTTGCCTACTTTTCTCAGGCCGCAGGCAGGGAGCTGGATGGGAGCTGGAGCAGCTAGGGAATGAACCATTGTCCAGATGAAAACCTGGACAATTGCACTGACCCTCAGTCCATTTCTAGTGTTTTTTCTTTTGTTGTTGTTGTTCCGTGAATACTTCAGATTCACTAATTTATAAGGTGTATGGGGATTATATAAGGATTATTTTTAGCTTGTACTCTGGATTGTAGGAAGTCCATGGTTGCTAGCCTGAATTATGTGAGGGCACTTCTTCCTGGTCGGTGTTCTCTAGAGTTCCAAGGTCATGGACATTTATAACAAACCCACTGGTGGGAGCCCATTAACGCACTAATCTGCTATGGGTGGATTTTAAAAATATTAGTGGGAATGTGTATAAAGATGTTTGGAGGGCCCGGTATGATAGTATAGTGGCTAAAGTCCTTGCCTTCTATTTGCTGAGATTCCATACGGGCACCAGTTTTTATTCCAGCAGCCCCGCTTGCCATCCAGCTGCTTGCCTGTGGCCTGGGTAAACGGTGGAGGACAGTCCAAAGTCTTGGGCCTCTGCATCCACATGGGAGACCTGGAATAAGCTTCTGGCTTGGACCAGCTCAGCCCCAGCTGTTGTAGCCATGTCAGCTGATGGAAGATCTTCCTCTCTGTCTCTCCTCGTTTCTGTACATCTGACATTCCAATAAAAATAAATAAATCTTTGAAAAAATGATGTTTGGAAATCAGAGTTTTAATAATATAATATAGTGTTATAAAGCTGGCACAACACCAGCATCCTACTTTGGCACCTGTTCAAGTCTTGGCTGCTGCACTTCCCTTCTAGCTCTCTGGGAAGCGCCTGGGAAGGCAGTGAAAGAGGCCCAAGTGCTTGCATGTCTTCATCCATTTGAGAGATCTGGAAGAGACTCCTGGCTTATGACTGGCCCGGCTGTTGTGGCTATTTAGGGAATGAACCAATGAATGGGAGATCTCTCTCTCATTTTGCTTCTCTTATTGGAACTCAGCCTTTCAAGTAAATAAAAACAAATCTTTAGTTTTAAAAACTAACAAAATAGGAAAAATGTGCTTTTCAGTGAAATTCACATTTCAGAGTCCATGACTACAATCTGTGAAAGTTAAAACTAGTATTTTTAAAATTGTAAAAGTTAATGGATAATTGCATAGGTAATTCAGAGGAAATGAGCATGATTAATGATGAAGAAAAATTTTCTGACACATTGTCCAGTTATGTGTCATCTATGGAAATACAATAATATTACAAAATGACAATCACTTTTATATATTGATTATAAAGTATTTCTAGAAAACATTTTGGCAATACTTTGGTAAATTGTGAGAGCTTTAGATTTTTGATCTTTTCATCTGCCAGTTCAATTTTAGTTGTGTAAACCAAGGGAATAATTAGAATGAAGTAGGAAATATATAAAACGCTTATTCTAGTGTTTATTTCTGGCAAGATTTGCAAATAATGCAAATGTTTAATAATGGAATAATGTTCCATAGACCTCAAATATTTATAATTTTTAATTTTAGTGAGAAAAGCCTTATCATAAGTGTAGGGAAAGAACAGATGGGGGAGACGGTGAGATACTGTGATAATTGCTTCTGACGGGCTACGATTGCCTATTAAATTAACTCGGGTTAGTTTTTTTCTGGATTTCCTTCCACAAGATTGTATTAAACTAAAAACAGTTTAATGAATGAAGGTCAGGTGTTTAGGGGATCTTGAATTGAAATTTGGTTGATGATGAATGTGAGTAGGTAATTCATATCTAAACGTGATTTTTAACCTCTAAAAACTTTCTTTTTTAGGTTGTTACACTTAGTGACAATGATGATACCCTTCATGGTAAGGTTTCTGGTCTTTCCTGGTTTTCATTTGTTGATCAAATGAAATACATTTCAAAAGTTTTTAGTGTGAATTTATTTTCTAAGAGGTTGACAGAGTGGGTTTTCTTCCATCTTTTTTTTTTTTTTTTTGGTTTGGTTTATTTTTTGATTTATTTATTTTTATTGTAAAGGCAAATGTGTAGAAAAGGAGATACAGAGAGGAAGACATCTTTTTTAGTCTCTAGATGCTTGCAGTAGCTTGGGACTGTGCCAAGCCATGGGTTAGGAACTCAATCCAGATTTCAAAGATGGGTGGCCGAGACTTACCACTTGGTCCAATACTGCTTTCCAGGCTCTGTATCAGCAAAAATTTGGAATTAGGAGTTGAATCCAGTTCACTTTAATATGGGACACCAATGTTTCAACCAGCAGAATTGCTAAGCTGAGCGCCTTCTCCAGCTTTTTATTTTAAAATTTTTAATTAAAAAATTGTAATTTTTTACTATTTATATAGCAGCTTTTAATTTTAAAACTTAGTTTTTAATTTTAAAATTTAGTTTTAAATTTTAATTTTAAAGGCTACTAGGAGTGATTTCTTTTTTTAATATTAGTTTTTTTTAACAAAAATTATATGTGTGTGTTGGGTGTTAGGTGATATTTTAATATATGTGTGCATTGTGTAAGTTACACAGTTATGGTCCAATATCTTCTCAAGTATCTAAAATTTCTTTATTGGAAAAACATTCAGAATCCTATTCTGTTGGTTTTTTTTTCTTTAAAGAGAAGTAGTGCATTATAGCATTATCTGCACAAATTTCTTTGACTTCATAATAATATCTAGAAATATCAGTCTTGTTTGTATTAAATTGCACAAATATCCATTTAATGCTCATAACTTATTTATTTTAAAAATATTTGTTACAGACAGAAGAGAGTTACAGTCAGAGCTATAGAGAGAAGGAGAGACCGAGAGAGAGGCAGATGTGTCATCCTTTGAATCACTCCCCAGATGGCTGCCATGGCCCTGGCTGGGCTGGTTCAAAGTTGAGAACCAGGAACTGCTTCCCAGTCTGCATTTGGGCACAGGGGCCCAAGGACTTGGGCCATATTGGTTGCTCTCCCAGGCAGTAAGGTAGAAGCTAGGTTGGATGTGGAGCAGGTTTGACATGAATTTGCACCTGTAAGGGATGCCAGTGCCACAGATGGAGTCTTAGCTTGCTATACCACTGAGCCCGTCCCTACTGCTTGTAATTTTAATAATTGAATTCAAGAGGGATACCTGTTCATTCTTTTGGTTTATTAGCATGTTTCTAAATAAAAGGACAAAAAGGCAAACTTTGCTTAATCCATGTGTGATTTACATCTTGTTTTATTTCTAAAATTGCTTGATATAGATATAATAGGATTAAATATATTTGATTTGTCTATTTGTCTTCAATTGAACGTTTCTCTCATTTTTAGTTAACTGAATTTTTTATTATCCTTTTTTTTTTCTATTTTTGGTAGGAAGCTTCACCAACTCTATGAATATTCCAGAGCTCGAAGAATCCCTGAAAGATTGTGAACCATCTAGCTTGAATACGGATAATATAAAATTTTCTGTATGGGTTTCTTTCTTTGAGATTTACAATGAATGTATTTATGATTTGTTTGCTCCTGTATCATCGAAGTTCCAAAAGAGAAAGATGCTGTGCCTCTCCCAAGATGTAAAGGGCTATTCTTTCATAAAAGGTAAACTAATGAATTGCCTTGTAGAGTTTGGGACATCTGTAGGAAAGCCAGCAGGGATATGAAAATTTGCATATTCCTTTTTAATATCAAAAGAATAAGAGAAGTATGTTGTGGAAAGTGGTTTGATGTGTTTAGCAAGCAAATATAAAAGGACCTAGTTTGCTATTGTGTTTACTTGAATATCATTGTTTGGATTCTTAGTCATGGAAATGCTTTGTATCATTAAAGTCACTAAGTCACTTTATTATGCTACTTGGTTATTGTCCAAGTTTTTGAGCTATGAAGTGTTACTGTTCTCCCATAATGGGATTTTTCAATACTTTGGAAACCATTCTGTTTTCTTTTTTTCTTTGTTTCTAATATTTGTTTATGTACATATTGACAGAATGTCAAATAAGAAAAAACATGCTTTTAACTTGCTAGTGAACTCTTCAGATGACCACAGTGGCTGGGGCTGGTCCAGCTGAAGCCAGGAACTTAGAACACCAAGTTTCTGTGTGGCCAGCAGGGGTTCAAGCATGTAGGCCATCCTCTGCTTTCTTGCCGTGTGTGTTAGCAGCAGGCTGTGTTGGAAGCAGAGCACCTGGGGTTAGAACTGAGTCTGATAAGCTTTGTCGGTGTTGCAAGTGGTGGTTTAACTTGCTACATCTCAATGATGACTCTGTGGCTAATTTTATGAGCTTAATTGTACTGTATATTTTGTCTTTTTTTTTTTCCCCTGAGTGTTTAATTTTAAGGAATTTTTCCAGTTTTCATTCCTGGCAGACTATTTTTTTTTTTTTATTGTTGCTTACATTGTATTATGTAGTACAGTTTTATAGGCGCTGGGGATTCCCCCCACCCCTCCCATACCCCTCCCCCCATGGTGGATTCCTCCACCTTGTTGCATAACCATAGTTCAAGTTCAGTTGAGATTCATTGCTTGCAAACACATGCCTAGCATAAAGTTCAGCGTCTTATTGTCCAGATAAGTTCAGTGGCCTCCTGGGGAGACCTTCTATGGTCTGAAGATAGGTCTAACAGAGTAAAGATCCGGTCAGTTAAAAGCCCCAACAAGGCCTCAGTATCATTATACAACATTATGGAATTAATTGACATAGTATTGGGTAAACAATATGTTAAAAATAATGCAAGTTCCATTCTTCGAAACATCTGGGTTGAGACAGTATCAATGACATGTTCAAAAAATGACAAACAACCAAACAATAAATTACAGGTTAAATCAAGGCAAACATGTGGTATCTAACCTTTTGGGATTCGCTCATTTCCCTTAGCATTATAGTTTCCAGTTGTGCCCATTTAGCCACAAAGAACTGCATTTTTGTTTTTTTAATAGCTGAGTAGTATTCCATGGAGTAGATGAACCAAAGCTTTCTTATCCAATCTTCTGCTGATGGGCATTTCGGTTGCTTCCATGTTTTTGCAATTACTGATTGTGCTGCAATGAACATAGGGATGCATGTTGGTTTGTCGTAAAACAGGTGTTTTGGATATATTCCTAGGAGTGCTATTGCTGGGTCATATGGTATGCAGATTTTGAGTTGTTTGAGTGTTCTCCAGACTGATTTCCATAAAGGCTGTACCAATTTGCAGCTCCACCAGCAGTGGAGTAGGGTTCCCTTTTCCCCGCATCCTCGCCAGCAAGCGTCATTGGTGTTCTTGTTTATGTGGGCCAATCTTACTGGTGTTAGGTGGTACCTCATCGATGTTTTAATTTGGATTTCCCTTATTGCTAGGGAGCTGGAACATTTTTTCATATGTTTGTTTGCCATTTGGACTTGTTCTTTGTGAAATGTTTGCCCATTTCCCGTGCCCATTTCTTGAGTGGCTTGTTTGTTTTGGTTTTTTGGTTGTTTTGAAGTTCTTTGTATATCCTGGAAATTAGCCCCCTATCGCCTGGCAGACTATTGAAGGTCATTTACTTTGTGTGTGGAACCTGAATACTCCAACATCATATAATTCTTGTTATACCTATTTTCTTGTGGAGTATAATAAGATTGTGAGTATAAGCTTAATTCAAACTCAGATGTGTTAGTAGAAGAAAGTCTGATCTGTGTCACTGAGAAAAGGCTGTCATTGTAGAACAGATTCTGTTGTTTTAGTATATTGATTGATATCCTCTTTATGTTTAAAGATCTACAATGGATTCAAGTATCTGATTCCAAAGAAGCATACAAACTTTTAAAACTAGGAATAAAGCACCAGAGTGTTGCCTTCACAAAACTGAATAATGCTTCCAGTAGAAGGTAAGGTACAGGCTCTGTGGGATAAGCCTGAAGCACCCATGGCATCCTGTGTATTTTAAATATAGTCAGTTTTAAATTAAAGGAAGTAGTTGGTTTTGTAGTAAGTTAAATTAATTCCAGCACATAAAAACATTTTGTAAACTAAAGAGCAATAACATATAATATTATCAATGCTATTTCTGGCCCTAATATTAACTTCGCTAATTTGTAGAAAGTCTCAGATATATTTAGTCTTTATTTATGTCGATATTTCAGCTGATTATTTTCAGTTATCTATAATTGTGGCTTTTCCCTGCATTTTCCCCATTTACCTTTTAAATGCCATATGCATACTGAATATTGCTATCCCAAGCAGTTTAAGAGGATTTTTTAAAACTATTAATTTGAATAGCAGAGTGATGGAGAGATAGAAAAGAAAGAGAGGGGGAAAGAGGTGAAAAGAAAAACATGCAAACTATTTCCCACGCACTGGTTGAGAGAGCATGCATCCATGGGTTCACTCTCCAGCAGTTGCAACAGTCAGTTCTGGCCTAGCCTACAGCCCGTAGGCCAGAGCTCTGTTTGTGTCTCCTATATGAGTGTCAGGGTCTCAAGGAGCCAGGCCATATGCTGCCTTCCTGGTTGTTTTAGAGTGAAGCTGGATCAGAAATGAGCCAGCTGGAGCTTAAAGCAGACAGTAGACAGCTGCAAAGTCTGCTGTGCCAGCATACTGGCTCCTAAGAAGTGAAACACTGGGAGATGAGTGACAGAGGGACTAAGTTTAAGCAGTAAGTTTTTTGTTTTGTTTTTTATATAACAGGTTTTCTCCTAAGGGAGAAAAAAGTACAATACACAGTGATGGCTCCGTTTTCAGTTGGGCTACAGATAATTTATGACTCAGAAAGTCTATTTAAATATAAAGGTCAAATGTAGATTTTGTGATGGAGTGAGATTTTGTTATAAGTGATTCCATTGCTCGTGGTTGGAATGTCAGGAAGAGAAGTGTTAGGAGAATTAGCAGTACACAAATTGTAGGACTCTTGGTAGTATATAGGTTGAAATATCTGGCAGCTTTTTGAAAAAATGTTGTGATGAACTAAAGCTAATACTAGGGTATTGAGATTGGTTTAGATGCTTATCTCTAATTTAGGATGTTAAAATTAAAAATCTGTAATATTTAATCTTTGTATATTTCTTTTAGTCACAGCATATTCACTATTAGAATCTTACACATTGAAGTTTCTGAAATGCCTCGTGTAATTGGAGTCAGTGAGTAAGTTCAAAATTTATCAAGTTCTTAATTATTTTGAATTGTTTAGAAGAACTTTTCAAATAACCTATTTGGTGTTTTGTTTAATTCAGATTGTCTTTATGCGATCTTGCTGGTTCAGAACGCAGCATGAAGACACAGAATGAAGGTGAAAGATTAAGGGAGACTGGGCACATCAATACTTCTTTATTGACTCTGGGAAAGTGCATTAATGTTTTGAAGAACAGTGAAAAATCAAAGTAGGTGTTGTTAGTGTATGTATTAGTATTTAAACTTTCAACTTTACTGATTTTAGAAAGTTTGCTTTTTTTTTATTTGTTAACTTGCTTCTTACATGATGATGGTATTTATTATTTAAATACTTAGAGATCTTGGATTAAAAAAATGATAGAAATAAAGAAAAAGATTCATTGGTATTGGTAACTCATCAGTTAAGCTATGTTTTCCAAAGCAAAAATGTATTAGCAGTTTAGAAATGAACCTCTCATGATGCTTGTATGCTACTTTTTTTTTTCTAAAGATTTATTTATTTTCATTCAAAAGTCAGATTTTATGGAAAGGACAGACAAAGAGAAAGATCTTCCATCCACTAGTTCACTTCCTGAGTGGCCACAGTAGCTGCAGCTAAGCTGATCCAAAGTCAGGAGCCAGGAGCTTCTTAAGGATCTTCCATGTAGTTGCAGGGGCCCAAGGTTTTGGGCTGTCCTCTACTGCTTTCCCAGGTCACAAGCAGGGAGCTAGAAGGGAAGTGGGTATGAACCTGCGCCCATGTGGGATCCTGGTGCATGCAAGGAGAGGACTGTAGCCACTAGGTTACCCCAGGTCCTCTTTTTTTTTTTAAAGAAAATATTTCTATTGGAAAGGTAGATTGTACAGTTTTATAGAAAGCAGTGACTGAAAGGTCTTCATCCACTGGTTCACTCTCCAAGGTGGCTGCAATGGCCAGAGCTGAGCCAATCCAAAGCTGGGAGCCAGGAGGACTCTCAGGTCTCCCCTGAGGAACTAGTGTCCTAAGGCTTTGGACCGTCATCTGCTGCTTTTCCAGAGCTTAAGCAGGGGGCTGTACGGTACGGGAAGTGTAGCTGGGACATAAACTGCTGCCCACTTAGGTTGCTGGCATTTGTAGACAGGATGAGTTAGTTTGGCCATCGCAGTGAAACCTGCTACTTCATTTTTGCTAATAATTTGTGTGCATTCTTCTAGAAATGGAGATTTTTGCATTATATAGCTTTGTAAGCTGAGTAATGATAAGTCATCTTTCATCATTTTTATTATCAAACAGTTGTATCCGTTGCATAATATTCTATGTCATTATCCAGTGCTACCTGTTATCCAACAGTTGTATACCATGAAACACAGCTCCATTAAATGTGTTTTTCTTTGTTTTTCCTAGTAGGTCATTGTTCAATCGTTTAAAGAAAATGAGCAGAGAAGCCTGTTACAGTTGAAGCTAATTTTTAACTTTCAATTTTAAGTCTGTATTAAGTGGATCAAATTATTCCTGGTAAACTTTATCAGCATATTAACCTCAGCTTTGATTTGAGCTTAATATTAACCTGAGCTTTGATTTGACTTAATATTATTTAAAAAATTTTTTATTTCACAGGTTTCAACAGCATGTGCCTTTCCGGGAAAGTAAACTGACCCATTATTTTCAAAGTTTTTTTAATGGTAAAGGGAAAATATGTATGATTGTCAACATCAGTCAGTGTTGTTTTGCCTATGATGAAATGCTCAATGTGCTGAAGTTCTCAGCCATTGCACAAAAAGTAAGTATATTCACACTCCTACAGAATTTATTAAGACTCAGATTTTTAAGAAATAATATGTTTTGTATTTGCTACTTAAAGCCAAGGAAATAATTGAAAATTAAGTATGGAAATGCTTGATGAAGTAGAATAACATGGAAAAAGATTGAAGATTGCCCTAATAGAATTGACTTGAAGGTTAGAAATAAATATTAACAGTAAACATTACAAATTAAGAAATTTTCTTGGAAAAAATAGTCTGCTCTGCTATTTGCCTGACTGCCAATACTAAGAACTTAGCCTAGGATTATGGTTTTGCTTGTAGTCTGCACGTAAAAGTAGTTTGTTTCTTAAAAGAATGTTCTTTTAAGGATGTGAATTTGGGGCACAGCACAGCAGCCTAGTGGCTAAAGTTCTTGCCTTGCACGTGCCAGGATCCCATATGGGCTAAGGTTCTAATCCCAGTGGCCCCCACTTCCCATCTAGCTCCCTACTTGTGACCTGGGAAAGCAGGTGAGGACAGCCCAAAGCCTTGATATCCTGCACCCATGTGGGAGACCTGGAAGAGGCTCTGGGCTCCTGGCTTAGGATGGGTGCAGCTCTGGGCATTGTGGCCACTTGGGGAGTGAATCATTGGACGGAAGATCTTCTCTGTCTCTTTCCTCTCTGTATATCTGACTTTCCAACAAATAAATAAATCTTTAAAAAATACAAAAAATGGGTGTGAATTTAACTTTTGTATGTTTGTTTAATCTTTTAACACTCAATTAGATATTTGATCTAATTTACAAGATTAATTTTTTGTGGCAGGCCCTGCCTTTTCTTTCTTTTTTTTTTCAAGTAAATTAATAAGGTATTGAGTGACCAATATGTTAGAAAATGCAAGTTCTTAACCACATCCTGTAACTACTTTCTTGACATCTCAATTTTAGTATATGCACAACTGGCTGCTATTCTTTTTTTTTTTTTTTATTATTATTATTTTATTACATTGCATCATGAGACACAGTTTTACAGGCACTGGGATTCCCCCCTCCCCTCCCCAAAACCCGCTCCCCCCCCCATGGTGGATTCTTCCATCTTGTTTAGAGCCTTACAATTTTACAATTCTTTGATGTAGATCAGAAGCAGTCTACTCATATCGATTATTGATTCCTTGATTACTTCACAATATCTTATTGCATGAGATACAGGTTGTTTGGGGTTGAAATAATATTACTGTTTCAGATTGATATCAATTCATAACAACCACATCAACAACACCAACAACATCGACAACAAAGTATATCACCCTGAAAAAAAGTAACACCACTGAATAGCCAACACATGCATGACAAAAAGGAAACACAGAAGTCTCTGGGGAAAAATGGTGCCATCATATACTTCATAAGCGCATGAGGAATTCTACTAGAGAATAGAGATTATTTGGAAGCAACCAAACTGAAGTAAAAACATCAAAAAACCAGCATGGATTGGACTGTTGGAGTTACCCTTTCCATGTTGGCTTCCTTATATGAGAGAGAATATATGGTATTTGTTCTTTTGTGATTGACTCATTTCACTCAGCATAATGGTTTCTAGTTGGGACCACCTGGTTGTAAATAGAATAATTTTGTTTTTCTTAATAGCTGCATAATATTCCATGGAGTAGATATACCACAGTTTCTTTAACCACTCTTCCTTGGACGCACATCTGGTTTGCTTCCATGTCTTTGCTATTGTAGATTGTGCTGCTATAAATATAGAATTACAGATCCCCTTCTCACAGGCAGATTTCACTCCTTTTGGGTATATTCCTAGGAGCGGGATAGCTGGGTCATATGGCAGGTTTATTTGCAATTTTCCCAGCACTCTCCATACTAATTTCCATAGTGGTTGTACTAGCCTACACTCCCACCAGCAGTGAAGGAGGGTACCTTTCTCCCCACATCCACGCCAGCAGGTGTTGTTATTCGAGTTCTGAATGTAGGCCAGCCTCACTGGAGTTAGGTGGTACCTCAACGTGGTTTTCATTTGTATCTCTCTGATGGCTAGGGAGCCTGAGCATCTTTTCATATGCCTGTTAGCCATTTGAACCTGTTCTTCTGAGAAATGTCTGTTCATTTCTTTTGCCCATTTTGTTACAGGGTTGTTGTTTTTGCTGTCCCTGGGTTTCTGAAGCTCTTTGTAGATCTTGGATATTAGTCCCCTATCACTTGTGTAGTATGCAAAAATTTTCTCCCATTCTGTTGGTTGCTTCTTCACTTTATTAATTGTTTCCTTTGCTGTACAGAAGCTTTTTAGTTTGATGTAGTCCCATTTGTTCATTTTGGATTTAATTGCCTTTGCTTTGGGTGTCTTTTCTAAGAAGTCTTTCCCTGTTCCAATATCTTGGAGTGTGTTTCCTATATTTTCCTTTAATAGTTTGATGGTTTCTGCGTGTAAATTTAGGTCCTTGAGCCAGTTAGAGCTGATTTTTGTATAATGCGACAGGTGTGGGTCTTGCTTCTTTATTCTGCAAGCTGCTATCCAGTTGTCCCAACAGCATTTGTTGAATAAACCAGGTATTTTACCTGGATTGTTTTCCGTTTTCTTGTCAAAGATTAGGTGAGTAAACATGTGTGGGTTTCCTTCTGGTGTTTCTATTCTGTTCCACTGATCTTCTTCTCTGTTTCTGTACCAGTACCAGACTGTTTTGATAACCACTGCTCTGTAGTATGTCTTGAGGTCTGGAATTGTGAGTCCTCCAGTTTGATTTCTATTTTTCAGGATAGCTTTAGCTATTCGTGGTCTTTTGTGATTCCAAATGAACTTTTGTATCATCTTTTCTATTTCCGAGAAGAATGTTGTTGGGATTTTGATTGGGATTGCATTGAATCTGTATATTGCTTTTGGTAATATGGCCATTTTGATAATGTTGATCCTGCCAATCCAAGAACATGGTAATGTTCTCCATTTTTCAAGGTCTGCTTCTATTTCCTTCCTAAATGATTTATAGTTTGCATCATAGAGGTCTTTCACATCTTTAGTTAGCTTAATTCCTAGGTATTTAAGATTCCTCTCCTCTATTTTAAAGGGGACAGTACTTACAATTTCCTGCTCAGCCGTGGAATTATTTGCGTACACTAGCGCCATCGATTTGTGTTCATTAATTTTGTATCCTGCCACTCTGCCAAAGTCTCTTATGAGTTCCAATAGTCTCTTGACTGAGTCTTTTGGCTCCCCTATGTAGAGAATCATGTCATCTGCGAATAGTGATAATTTCAATTCTTCATTTCCAATTTCTATACCTTTAATTGCTTTGTCTTGCCTAATAGCTCTGGCTAGGACTTCCAAAACTATATTGAAGAGTAGCGGTGACAGTGGACATCCCTGTCTAGTTCCAGAATTTAGCGGAAAAGCTTCCAATCTTTCCCCATTTAGTATGATGCTGGCATTGGGTTTTTCGTAAATTGCTTCGATTATGTTGTAGAATGTTCCTTCTATGCCTATCTTGCTTAGGGTTTTTAACATGAAGTGGTGTTGGATTTTATCAAATGCCTTCTCTGCATCTATAGAGAGGATCATATGGTTTTTATTTTTCAATTTATTGATGTGGTGTATCACATTTATTGTTTTGCGAATGTTGAACCATCCCTGCATGCCTGGGATGAATCCCACCTGGTCCGGGTGAATGATCTGCCTGATGTGTTGTTGGATCCTATTGGCTAGTATTTTATTAAGGATCTTTGCATCTATGTTCATCAAGGATATTGGTCTGTAGTTCTCTTTTTCTGTTGTTTCTCTCTCTGGCTTTGGTATTAAGGTGATATTAGCTTCATAGAAAGAGCTTGGGAGGATTGCCTCTTTTTCTATTGCTTGAAAAAGCTTGTGTAAGATTGGGGTAAGTTCCTCTTGAAATGTTTGGTAGAATTCAGCTGTGAAGCCATCTGGTCCAGGACTTTTCTTGGTTGGGAGGGCTTTAATTACTGATTCAATCTCAGTGCATGTTATTGGGCTGTTTAGATTGTTAATTGCTTCTTGATTCAATTTTGCTGGATTGTATGTGTTCAAGAATCTATCCATCTCCTCTAGGTTTTCTGATTTGTTTGCATATAGTTGCTTGTAATAGGTCCTGATGATTCTTTGTATTTCTGAGGTATCTGTTGTTATATCTCCTTTCTCATCTCTGATACTATTGATGCATATTTTCTCCCTCCTTTTTTTGATTAGTTGAGCTAGTGGAGAGTCTATTTTGTTGATTTTCTCAAAGAACCAGCTTTTTGATTGATTGATCTTATGTATAGTTCTCTTGGTCTCTATTTGGTTTATTTCCTCCCGTATTTTGACAATTTCGTTTTTCCTACTAATCTTGGGACTCCTTTGTTGTTGAGTTTCTAGTTCTTTCAGTTGTAAGGTTAGCTGATTTACTTGGTGCTTTTCTAGTTTCTTGACATAAGCACTGATTGAAATGAACTTTCCCCTCAGCACTGCCTTGACTGTGTCCCATAAGTTTTGATAAGTTGTGTCGATGCCTTCATTTGTTTCAAGCAATTTTTTAATTTCTCCTCTGATTTCCTCTCTAACCCATTGCTCATTTAGTAACATATTATTCAGTCTCCACATGTTTGTAATTCTTCCTTGGTGTTTCGACTGCTTGGTCTCAAGCTTCACTCCTTGGTGGTCTGAGAAGATGCATGGTATGATTTCAACTTTTTAAAATTTGCTGAGGCTTGTTTTATGGCCTATAACATGATGAATTCTGGAGAAAGTTCCATGCACTGATGAAAAAAATGTGTATTCTCTGTCTGTAGGATGAAAGGTTCGATAGATGTCAACTAAATCCATTTGCTCTAGAGTTTGGGTGAGTTCTATTGTTTCTTTGCTGAGTTTCTGGCTTTTTGATCTGTCCATTTGTGTTAATGGGGTATTCAGGTCTCCCACTATGATCGTATTGGAGTTTATTTCTCCCTTTAAGTCCGTTAATATTTGTTTCATGTAGCTAGATGCTTTGGCATTTGGAGCGTAAACATTTAGTATGCTGATCTCTTCTTGCTGAAGGCATCCTTTGATCATTATGTGGTATCCTTCTTCATCTCTTTTGACGCTCTTTACGTCAAAGTCCATGTCATCTGATATAAGAATGGCTACACCTGCTCGTCTTTCCTTACCATTTGCTTGGAATATCTTTTTCCATCCTTTCACTTTCAATTTTTTCTGATCTTTGTTGGTGAGATGTGTCTCCTGTAAGCAGCAGATAGTAGGGTTTTGTTTTTTGATCCAGTCCTCCAATCTATGGCGTTTGACTGATGAGTTTAAGCCGTTTACATTCAGCGTTATTATGGATAAGGGGCAGTTTGGTCCTGTCATTTTGGCAATGTGTTGTTCTATAATTGAGTCGTTTGTTAGCCTTTTAGTGGGATGTTCTCCACATTTGCCTTTGTTTCTGGGGGTTGTTATTTCTTTTTTCTTTCATGGGAACATCCTTGAATATCATTTGTAAGGCAGGTTTAGATGAGGCAAAATCTTGAAATTTTTCTTTGCTGTAGAATTTTATTTCATTTTCAAAGACAAAGGAGAGCTTTGCAGGGTAAGTTATTCTGGGCTGAAAATTTTTCTCTTTTAGGATCTGGAATACGTCATTCCATTCTCTTCTGGCCTGTAGTGTTTCCTCTGAAAGGTCAGCTGTGAGTTTGATTGGAGCTCCCCTATAGGACACTTGATTTTTTTCCCGTGCCCATTTAAGGATTTTTTCTTTTTGTTCAACTGAAGAGAACTTGATTATCATGTGTCGCGGTGAAGTTCGGTTTTGGTCAACTCTGTTTGGAGTTCTGTATCCCTCCTGTATATAATTTTCCAATTCTTTGCTCAGATTAGGGAAGTTTTCCTTTATTATTTCACTGAATACTCCTCTAATGCCGACTTCTCTTTCTGCACCCTCTGGAACTCCCATAACTCTTATGTTGGACCTTTTAATCATATCTTTTAATTCTTGGATACTTTTTTTAGCTTGACTTAGCTCTGCTTCCAGCTTTTTGCTTGTTGCTTCATGGTGACAGGAAATATCTTCTAATTCTGATATTCTTTCTTCTGCTTCATTCATTCTGTTGTTGAGACTCTCCACTGTATTTTTAATTTGCTCTACTGTGTTCTTAATTTCTGATATATCAGCCTTAATTTGATGTAGTACTGCTATTTCTTCTTTGAACTCTTGTTTGTGCTTCTCATTGTAGACCATCAGCTTTGCAATGAGTTTTCTGAGTTCTTTGTCCCCCATTTTCTCAATGTCTTCCTCAGTTAACTCTGAGAGTGGGCGGAGCTTTTGCTCTTTTGTTGGAGAGTCTTCAGTAACATTCACAGTACTTTTGTCTTGTCTTTTACCTTTTGTAGTTGCCGCTCTGTTTGACGAAATCATCTCTATGGTATATTACCTACAGGTCTATAAGTTGATTTTTATGTTCAATCAGTGCCCCGGATTTGGGAAACACAGCTGTCCTGACAATTATTTTGTCTGTGGTACTGATTTTGTAGGCAGCACTGAGCTTGTCGCCCGCTGCTGGCCGATAAGTCAGAGTACTTCCTGGGGGTATTTTGGGTGGAGGTGGCGGCGTGCCTTGTATGGGCTGTTTTCTCTGCGGCTGTGCAGTGCTCTAAAATGGTGGTATTTTTGTCCCCAGGTCAGTACTTGGGTGACTCAGCTGTTCTCCCTTCAGTGTAAAACTGTCTGGTCACGTGACACTGTTATCTGAGAGCTGCCGATTTAGCACATGAGCAGATTACCACTCCTCCTCTTGCAGCTTATCAGTGTTTGGAGCACTTGCCACAGTGTCCAAGATGGCGCCCGTAGGGGCACCAGCAAAGGTCGGGAGGTGGGTGGGCTGTCCGCCGTCAGCTCCAGGGACCACACCAACCCTGCAGGGAGCGAAGCTGGCGTTTCCCTCCCCACGTAGATCAGTCCCGGGTAAACAGCCAGAAAGGAGCCGCTGTGCGGCTCTGTCAACTCCTCGTTCTGTCTCTCCGCACAAGATGGCGCCCTGAGTCCCCTGCTCCCTCTGCCTATTGCTGGTTCCAGTCACTCAGCTTGATTGTCAGCGCCCAGACTATATTAACTTTCCTATTCCCCACGCGGACCCAGGCTCTCACCTGGCGGTCACAAGAGCTGTGTGGAGGCCGCTGCTGGATGTTTGGCTGGCGCTGGAAACGGATCGCTAGAGCCTGGATCACTGGGATCTGAGTTGCTACTCGCCAACTGCTGGTGGGTTCTTCGGTCCACTACAACACTGCTGTCTCGTTTCCGCAGCTTCCCTGTGTCCAGGAGAGTTCCAGGTGCCCCCTGCTCACTTCCTGAGCCCTATTTTTTCCCTGAAATCTACTTATTGTACCTCTCCTTGCCTAAAGACTCTCCATTCCACCAAACACATCTGCACTCTACGCCGCCATCTTAGAAAAAACCTGGCTGCTATTCTAAAAGTTACATTGGGTATCTTAACAGGTTTATGTTCCTGATGCTTTAAATTCCTCTCGAGAGAGAGCTGGTGGAACTTCCAAGTCTTCTGAAGACATATCAGTAGATAATAATTCAGATAATAAAATGTTAAATGTAAAAAGAGCCACTGTTTCATGGGAAAATAATCTTGAAGATTTGGTAGAAGATGAAGATTTGGCTGAGGATCTAGAAGAAGGTGAAGAAACTCAAAATAAAGAAATGGAACTTAGTGATGAAGATTTGGATAGAACTGTGGAAGATAAGACTTTACTTAACTGCAAGGAGAACAAGGTAGGTATTAAAAACTTATTGATTGGGGCCTGGCAGCGTGGCCTAGTGGCTAAAGTCCTCACCTTGAATGCACCAGGATCCCATATGGGTGCCGGTTCTAATCCCGGCAGCTCCACTTCCCATCCAGCTCCCTGCTTGTGACCTGGGAAAACAGTTGAGCATGGCCCAAAGCTTTGGGATCCTGCACCCGCGTGGGACACCCGGAAGAAATTCCTGGCTTCTGGCTTCGGATCCGCATAGCATTGGCCATTGTGAATCATCAGATGGAAGATCTTCCTCTCTGTCTCTCCTCCTCTCTGTATATCTGACTTTCCAATTTGAAGTTCATTAGCAATTTTTATAAATAACTTTAAAAATGTTTTAATGGTATATGTTTATTGGCATACAGAGTTAATAGTTCTTAAGGTTTCCTCTCCCATTTTTTCAATCATACGTTGACATTTTTTGTATCTCAAGTTTGTTTTGAAAAATTTTAAGCCTATAAAAATGCTAGTATAATGAGTAGTTGGGTCACCAATTGTTGTCATATTATAAATATGTAAGTAAAGATTCTTTTGCTTGTAGGTAAAAACCTATACAAAATTATACCTTAAAACTAACTATGATGGTATTTATTTTCTAAGAATGAGAAATTTTCCTCATAATTTCCATGACTGTTCTTTCACCTAAGAAGCCTAATATTGATGTAACAAAGCTATCTGTTAGGCCACCCATCCTGAGATTTCTCTGGTGGTATTAATATAGCTTGAATAACCATTTAATTTCTGTTTACAAAAAAACATTGATTTTAGCATCACGTTTGTGTAGTCATTTTTAATCTAGCATTGATATCTTTTAGAAGTAGAGGCTATCCCTACTAATGAAATTCACAGTGTTGGGTTTAAGTGGAATAGTAAGTAGTTCCTGGTGGATAATACATGAGGCAAATTTACTTTTTTCTTAGTTCAGCTGAGCATTGAGATGTTTGAGTTTATTTTTCATGTAGGTCTTCCTATGAGGTGGAGAGATTACAAAGTAATGAATCTGCAAATGCCAAAAATTTAGTGAGAATGCAATTTTTAAAAAGGATACGTAATTGTGGTTGATTAGATAAAAATTATTTTTGAAATAGTTGGACAGTATTTGGGTTATGTTTATCCTTTTATAAGAATTCTAATATTTAAATATTTTAGAAACTATTGAATTTAATAGAAGAACTGAAAAAAAAACTGATAAATGAAAAAAAAGAGAAGTTAACATTGGAACTTAAAATTCGAGAAGTTACACAGGAATTTACTCAATATTTGGCTGAACGTGAGGCTGACTTTAAGTAAGTTGTTTCTTTGATGATTTAGTAAAAACTGAGAATTTCATTGCCTTGTTTCCTTTTCTTGCTTTCTGAGTTCTCATTTCTTTTCAGTAGTTTGAAAATAGCTTTTACTAATCGTCTTACATGAAGTTTGTTTTAATCTGTACTAGCCCTTGGCAGTGTAGAATTCTGTTCTGTTTTTTAAATGGAACTAATTTGTGTAATGCAGAGAAGCAATGCTTCAGGAACGAGAGATGTCAGAAGAAAATGCTGAATGCCGTTTGGCGATCTTCAAGGAATTGGTTGGTGTATGTGACATTCAGGAAGAACCAAGCAATAGAGTTTGTGCTGTGAAAGTTGAAACTGAGGTATTGTATCTCAAATGCTAGATTTCCAGGGAGAGTTTGATAGCAGGATATAATATGTGGTGGCATTATTGATGAGAAACATTAGTTTAGAATTAACGCAAAATAACTCTTTTTTTTTTTTATTATACTTATATCTGTTTTGTTAGGAATGTTAATGCAAATTGTTTTGATATTGCTTGAGTCATTATATGGACTGACAAAGAGGTTCAGTGTTTTTAATTATAAGAAACCTTCCCCAGCTTAGTCTTAAACTTCCAGTTTTTAAATTAGACTATCTAAAGATATAAGGAACTCTAAAAGGAGTAATTTACTTACTGTTTTGATTACCACAAAAATATTTGTTCTTACTGAATAATTACAGCTTCCTAGTTTTAAGGAAAATTTATCCTTTTCTGCTGTTTCCTCAGAAAACTGACTAGGTTTTCTTGGGTTTTCTAGGTTTTTTTGTTGTTGTTGTCACTTTTTAAATAGTTACGTTAATTTCAAAGTCAGAATTAGAGAGAAAGAAGGAACTATCTCCCATCTGCTGGTTCACTTCCCAAATGCCTCCAACAGCCAGAGGGTGTGCCAGGCTAAACCAGTCCCCTGGAACAGCATCTGGGTCTCCCAGATGGGTGGCAGGAGGTGGCCCAAGTGCTTTGGCCATCTTGCTTTGACTGCTTTGTGGAGTGCATTGGAGGGAGCTGCACTGGAAGCAGAGCAGCCAGGACTCAAGCAGGCCCCTATAGTGTGGAAATCCAGTGTTGGAAGCAGTGGCTTAACGTGGTGCACAGGGCCGCCTGCACCACTTGCTTGCTTTGTCGTCACTCAGTTCAGGGACCTGTGACAGTGATGTCTAGACTCTTGCTGTCATTTCACCATTCTGTGTCACTGCTATGATTTGGAATTGAACTGAGTTGTTTAAATGAAGATTAGTTTTCTTGGCTATTCTAACATAGTCTTTTAAGTATCATTATTTATTTGAGATGATACCTAACTAACTTACCATAATTGTATAATTTTCACTGTTTCGGACATTTTCCCTGTGACATTTTAATGAGGAAAAATGATTCTGTTCCTTAAAAAATCAGTAGTAGAATGAAATTTTTTTTTTTCCATTGGGGGCTTCTATATGATTTGCCTAAAAGGCTATCATAAGTTTTTGGCTGTTTCTAAAGCTCTGTGTATTATGTGGTAACACGTCAGGGTGAAACCCAGGGTTAACATTAGGCATGTGGTTTTTGCTGTTTTTAGGAAGCACATAATTATGTAGGATTTGAAGATATTATTGACTCTCTTCAAGATGATGTCACTGATATTAAGAAACAGGCTGAAATTGCTCACTTATGCATTGCATCTCTTGCTGATCCCCAGGAAGCCATGGCTTGTTTTCAACTAAAGTTAAGTCAAGTTAAAACTGAATTAGATAAAATTAAAGAAGAATTAATCAAAACCAAAGAAGAGTTAAAAAAGAGAGAGAATGGTAAGTAGATGTATTTTACTCCTTTGTAGATATTATAAACATATAAAATCTGATAAATATAAGAGAATTACACAACTTATTTATTACAGTGACCAGGAAATTCCTTAACCTAGGGTAGTAAGTTTTAGTATGTAATCATTTATATGAATTTATACAAATTTGCTACAAGAAATATATTTGACCATCACGTATTTCACTAGTTTTTGGGAAATAGTTAGTTTTAAAGGCAGAAAGCACTCCCATCTATTAGTTTACTCCCTAAATGCACACAACAGCCATAGGAAGGCTTGGTCTGTGGCTGCGTATTGGCATTCAATCCAAATTTCCATTAGGTGACAGGAACGTAATGGGCCTGTCTACAGCTCCCTCCCAGAATCTGCATGACTAGGAAGCTTGAATCAGTCCCAGGTTCTCCCATGTGATAGAAAGGTTTCTGCCATCTTAACCTATAGGTCAAGGACTTTTCAAGAGAAAGTATTAGCTTTTTCCGTAAATGAAGAAATTATTCTTCCATATTCTTTATGCATTCTAGTGTAGGAGATTATGCTCTTGGCTTACAAGTTTGAAATAGACTAACTCCTATGGGGTGGCTGAAGCTAGATTGGAGGTTTGTTCTGTCTTTGAGGATATCTTACATTTGTAGGAGGGTACTTCAAAATTTTAACGGAAAAAGGAAAAGAGAAAGTCTGTATTGAAGTAAAAGTTTTTGAAATACAGATAGTTTTTTTCATAATACTCATTTTCCATTAGTGGTTTTGAAGTATCTTTCTGTATGATTAGTTGCAACATTTGGAGTTGGAGAAAATTGGATAAAATCATCTTCCCTTTTCTGTGTAATACTAGATGGGTAGAGAAACAGCCGGTAAGTGATGCTTCTGCCTTTGGAGTGGACCAGGAAAGCCCTGACTCTGTCTCTTCTCTGGTGTCATGCCAGTTCTCTACTACTTAACGTGTCACTCATTTTTATCCTGGGTTTTGAAAGTATCATTTTTCTGAAACATTATTCTCTTGTAAGACGAATGCTGTGCCTTTGTAATGCTGTCAAAATTCTTTTTCCTGAATGTAATGCTGATAAAAGTGTCCACTATAGAAACTTGTGTTTCATGAGTTTAGTCATCGTTTCTTAGATATGAACTTATTTTCAAAATTCTTTGTTTTTTCAGAATCAGATTTATTAGTCCAAGGGCTGAAGAAATCTAGTAAGGTAATACTTTAAGCTTTTTTATTTCTTTGTTTTGATGAGGAGTAGAAGAGTACAGTTTATTACTACAAATGTTTATTTTAAAACCAATTACAGAAAAAGTAATGAAGACGGTGATAACAAAATTGAGAAGTCTAAGTGCCTTCACCTTTATACTGCTTTTCAGTGATGGTCATTGGGAAGATTCTATAAGCCTTATGGGAAATTTGTGGACATATATAGAAGGATACATATGTCTTAAAAAGTTTGCATAAGTAGAGTGATTTTCTGCTTTGCTTTCTTCCTCTCTAAATTATGTCTTGCAAATTATTCTAAAGCAATACCTACAGATATGTATCCTTCCTTTACTGAATTCATTAAAACCAACAATAAAAAGGGAGTCCAGTGTTGTATTACCACCGGCTAAGTCTCCCTGCATTGCTGGTATCTTATGTAGGAGCCAGTTTACGTCACAGCTGCTCTGCTTCCAGTTCAGCTTCCTTCTGATATTCTGGGAAGGCAACAAAAGATGGCCCAAGTGCTTGGGCGCCTGTGAGCCATATGGGACACCTCGATGGAATGCCTGCCATCTGGCTTCAGTTTGACCCAACCCATTTTATTGGCCATTTGGAGCATTAACCAATGGATGGGAGATCTCTCTCTGTCCAAGCAGCATCTTAGCCACTGTCCACATGTGTATTCCCTTAACTCCTTATTACTTGTGTTATATATATATGTATGTGTATATATGTATGCATGTATACAGACATACACATATATAAAACCCACTACCTTATGACCTAATGTTATTTTATCTGCATGTTCTGAAATTTGCATATTTTATGATGTAAAATGGCAATAATGTCAAACTTCTCACAGCCTATGCGGTCTGGGGTTTGAACAAGCTCCATCCCTCAGTCAGCAGGTTTTAAAGTTTCTGGGACTGCAGCAGAGGTGAGTGTCAGGTGGCACTGTCTGCTTTTGAGTTATTTACTCAGCACTAATGAATGCTTGCACGCGTATTGGAGTTTATTGTTTGAGGCTGCTTACTGCACAGTTGGTTGTGCGAAGAGATTTCCGAGGAAAGGTGAAGTTCTTCTGGGAAACTAGATCACCAAGCAAAGTTAATCTTCTCTGAGAAACAGATCTGTTAGTGTGAATGAATTTGATGATCAGTCATTGAAAATCCCACCAAAGATAAAAGTGATTACTCACTGTAAAGAGTTTCTTTAATAAAACATTGTCTTCTACTTTTATTTGTATTATTTTTAGATTTATATTTATTTGAAAGGCAGAGTTATAGAAGGAGAGAACAAAGGAGAGAGAGATCTTCCATCCTCTGGTTTATTGCCCAAATGGCTGCAGTGGCCATTGCTGGGCCAGTCCACAGCCCAGAGCCAGGAGCTCTGGGTCACCCACAGATGCCCAACTGCAGACATCCAAGCCCTGGACCATCCACTGCTTTCCCAGCTGCATACCAGGGAGCTGGGTTGGAAGAGGAGGAGCTGCGACTTGAACTGGTGCCTCTAGGGGAACTGGTGCATCAACCGTGCCTACTGGCCGCAGCAGCATCCCCTAAAACACTGTTTGCTACTGTGTCTTGAAATTGTATGTTATAACTCTATCATCAACCTTCTGTAACTCACTGAGAATTCGCTTGATTTATGTTGAATTTAGAGTTCTGTGAATAACCTTGAAGTGTACAGAGGTTCTCATTAGACACGAATTAGCTCTATGTTACTAAAAGCTTTTGAGGTAAAATTACTTTAATAATTATTCACCATGATTATTGGGAGCACTCCCTGTTTGGAAGTGAGGATGTGCAGTCATCAAGGAATGAGAATCTAATAAGACAGATGTGTCGATGGCAAACTGGATCATAAAAACGAAGAGAGGCTGTGAGGGAGGGAGAAGGGAAGAGAAGGATACTTGCATATGCAAAGATAACATGAGCCATTCCTTTTTTCTGGCCTTTCCTTGATTGTTCTAGGTAGTTTCAAGTAATTAGCATTGACTAATATAAACTGTAAAGCTTGTGGAAAATCTCAGCATGAATCTGTAAAGTTTTTTAATCTGTAAACAAGGTTTGATTCTCATTTGCATGAAGTCATACATCGTAAAATTTCTTTTAACCCTAAGTATGTATTTTCCTAAATTTTTAAAATTTCAATTTCCCATTAGTAATTCTAGAAGTTGCTATATGTTTCAGAGTTTTGGAGAATCTTATTATAATGCTGTCTTCCATTTTCACCTTCATAAACTCAGCATGCCGAACTTGGCTGAAAACACAAAATGACTCATTCATATTCCACTGTACTGAGCTTGTGACTTCTGTGGGCATGGTGTCTCCTCGTACAGTGGCAGGATTCTAAGATGGGGCATCGGGCAGTGTCCTGAACCTTAGCATTCCCAGAGAAAGGGAAGACAGCCTGAGGACCATCAAATTATTTCTACTACATTCTATGAAAATTTGCTAATACAGCCAAGACTCCATCTCTAGGTGGCAACACCAACAATGAATATGCAACTGGCTTTAAATGTGCATAACTGTAGTGCATGTTCAAAGTCCTGGACTGTTTTTAGAGATTTCCGATCTGATAGATTTGTGGTAGAGTGCAATAATCTTTTTTTTTTTTTAAAGATTTATTTTATTTATTGGAAAGTCAGATATACAGAGAGGAGGAGAGACAGAGAGGAAGATCTTCCGTCCGATGATTCACTCCCCAAGTGAGCGCAACAGCCGATGCTATGCCGATCCAAAGCCAGGATCCAGGAACTTCTTCCGGGTCTCCCACACGGGTGCAGGGTCCCAAGGCTTTGGGCTGTCCTCGACTGCTTTCCCAGGCCATAAGCAGGGAGCTGGATGGGAAGCAGAGCTGCCGGGATTAGAACCGGTGCCCATATGGGATCCCAGGAGTTCAAGGCAAGGACTTTAGCTGCTAGGCCATGCCGCCGGGCCTGAGTCCAATAATCTTTTAAAGAAATTCTCTAGATAATTCTTAGAATGGTTTACCTTTGAGAAATGAGATCTAAGTTTCTCCCAGTTTTGACCTATCATGGGCGAGCCTGGAGAGGGTGAGTGATAACTCCCATCTTTTAGCCTTGCAATAGGCTTGCACACTTTTTAATCTTGACTGGCTTATTGCTAGGAATAGTTCTTTGAAAGGATTTGTGTTTTTGTGGTTAGTAAATTCATATTCTACAGCTAATTTTTTTCCTTTTCAATTATGTTTTAGGATGGATCGGTAGTTCTTGACTCTTGTGAAGTATCATCAGAAAATGATCAAAGCACTCGATTCCCAAAGCCTGAGTTAGAGATTCAGTTCACACCTCTGCATCCCAACAGAATGGCGGTGAAGCACGCTGGTTGTGCTACACCAGTGACAGTTAAGATTTCCAAGGCTCGGAAGAGGAAGAGCAATGAAATGGAGGAGGCAATAAATTGCTTATCTGACGGGCAAACTTAACAAATAATTCTTACTGAGCTCAGTCAGACAACATAGTTGAGCTTTGCTGCCCTATCTTCGTGTTGATAAGCCCTGCTCTCATAGACCAGCATATTCATTTATGGTCTTTTTTTTTTTTCTTATTCAAGATTTATTTATTTGAAACGGTTACAGAGAGAGAGAGATTTTATCCACTGGCTTATTTCTTGAACGGCCACATTGTCAGGGCTGGACCAGGCTGGGTGGGGGACATAAGCACTTGAACCATGCTGCCTTTCCAGATGCATTAGTGAGAGCTGGACCCAAATACAGCAGTCAGTAGTCAAACCAGCACCCATGTGGGATGCTGGCATGGCAGGTGCTGGCTATGCCCCCTTGCTGGCCCCAGTTATGGCAATACCTTTAAAGCATATCTCTCTAGTTTAATCATACTGAGACAAAAAGCTATGAATATTAAAATTTATAGCATATTATTTGTTTCATTTAGACTGAAGGCCCAGTGATGATATATTTTGTTGCAGAGCTGTTTTTGTAAATTGGTCCTGTTCAAAAGGATTGATATAGAAATTTTAAAAAAAGAAAACAGAATTGCTATGTTTGCTTGAGTAATAGTTTTTGTCAATAAACTAAGATTTTAGGTCTCTGTGATTGTAGCAAGTTTTGGGAAATGCTTGTTCAATCAGCCTCTGTTACGATTTGTGCTTTTCTATAGTTGCAGGCCAGGAACTACTTCGTCCTCCTTAGCGTGGCTCTTTGGTTATAGGGCTGCCCCCGTGCGCTACACTAGCCATGCAGATTTGACAAGTCATATCAGCTTCATGCTGCTCAGTTTGCTCCTTTTCAAAATAATGGAAATATTCAAATAGGTTACCTTTCACTCTGCATATAAAAGAGCTTGCTTTGTTGAGGATATGTGAGAAAATAACTGAGTAAGATGTCATGCCTAGGTGGTACAGAAGAAAGATTATAGTATTTCCTGATTTGCACATGTGCCTGTATATCCACTGGAGTTTTGAGTTTTGCTTTTGATAGTCAAATGTAAATAAGAGATCCTGGACATAGATGCTAGAAAATTTGGGAATTTTAGGTGTATTGCTATGTAGTATTTGAAAGATGAATCTGAAATAAAACACGTTATGCCTTTTATACTTCTCAGGTACTATTTATGATGTATGTGAAAAATTCCCATCTTCTCACGGGACTGCTAAGCTTCAACACAATTGACACTTTGGCATGGATACCTAGGGGGCGGGGGTGCTCATTGCATGGGTAACCTTAGCCTCTGCCCAGTGGTGGCCAAGAACAGCTTGCTGTTCCAGGCAAATCAAAGTATTTCTAGACATTCCTCGTGTCACCTGAGGTCAAAATCACCCTCAATTACAAACCACTATTTTAAATGGCAATACATGTGTAGTATTTTATGGATTTCCTTTTCTGAGTCTAGAGAAGCAGCACTTTGTCAGGAAGTTAACCCTTGGTCTCATTCATTATTTGTAGGACTTTGTGAAATGTGAGAATAAGAAGAATGCTACTCCCAGAAGTAATTTGGACTTCCCTGTTTCAGAGCATAGAAATTCTTCCATCAAAAAAGAACAGAAGGTTTGTCTTCATTGTCAAGAACATTTCTGTAACTTTAACTTATGTATATTTAAACCAGGAGATAAATAAAGATAGCAAATTCTGATCAGTACTTATCTAGAATGCCAGGTGTGCCCGGTATAACTCAGTTATCTTCCCTCTCCTGGGGGCTGTCTCTGCTTGGGAAGGAACCTAAAGCATTTGATCAATACGGGCACTGCTGATGTCATACGTGCCCGGTGAGGCTCCTCTTGCGTTTCTACACGAGAATTCATAACCTATCTGTGGCCTCTTTAATTCACCTGCAGCCATCACTTGTTTCCTCTGGCATTCCTCCTCAACAGTAACAAAAACTCTTCGTTTATTAGGTTTCCATACGTCCATCACCTAAGAAAACATACTCTTTACGGAGTCAGGCACCCACGATAGATGTAAACTTGACCACTAAGAAAAAAGAAGGAACATTTCAGAAATTTGGAGACTCCTTACAGCGTTCTCCAACAATTCTTCAGTCAAAAGGTTTGTAATGCATGGTGATCTTTCCATGAGATGTAGAGTACATTCTCATCTCTCATGAGCACATAGCCTCAACAGCTGCTTAGCGGATATCGCACTTTAAACAGGCCTGGTCCTGCATTGTGTACAATGAGAAGAAGTAGTTGAAATGATGAAATAGCCAGGTGTTTGCTGACAGTGCAGGAGAAAGGCTTTACCACCTGCGGAGACCCAGTAAAGGACAGGAGTGTGGATGCAGTTTGAGGCAGCAGTAGGTGTCCTGCTCGTGGCAGGTGGAAAGCCCTTCGCGGGGGAGCGTGGACGATGAGGTGTTTTGGGGATTAGACGAGTGGAGCACTAGTATGAACTGGACACCAGGGGTGGGGAGAATGGGCAGGGTAGGGAAAGGGCCTGGCAGTGGGAGACAGTTAACTCAGTGAAACGGATTGTGTGATTAATATTTGCTATGAAAAACGACCCAGAGCTTCTCAAACGTCTTGCTTAGGTGCCCTTTAACTTTGAATAATCATTTTCTTTGTACGGTTATTTACAAAAATCACTCTGACCATTAGAACCTAAGGTGAAAGGACCATGGAAAGATTTGCTTGTGAAAGTCTAAAGTTCCAAAAATATGTCATCATTAGAAGGAATATGGTGTCATCTGGAACCTGTTTTGAGCTAGTCAGTGTCACTCTTTCCGGTGAAGATTGAAAACACCCTGATGTGTTCCTACAAGTCAGCTTCGTGTTCATCCACAGTTTGGGGGATTCAGATTTGTGAGGCCTCTTGGCTGTCCTTTTTTAAAGATTTATTTTTATTATTTTTTTATTGGAAAGGCGGATGTACAGAGAGGAGGAGAGACAGAGAGGAAGATCTTCCGTCCGATGATTCACTCCCCAAGTGAGCGCAACGGCCGATACTATGCCAATCCGAAGCCAGGAGCCTCTTCCGGGTCTCCCACGCGGGTGCAGGTTCCCAAAGCTTTGGGCCGTCCTCGACTGCTTTCCCGGGCCACAGGCAGGGAGCTGGAAGGGAAGCGGGGCTGCCGGGATTAGAACCGGCGCCCATATGGGATCCCGGGCGTGCTAGGCGAGGACTTAACCACTTGCGCCACCGCGCCGGGCCCGGCTGTCCTTTTTTAATTAAAAATTTTTTGTGAGATAACACATTCTCATGTTCAATTATAGCCAGAGACTCAGCCCCACTAAATGGCTGAACAAACAGCAAAATGATCATAGTTCAGCAGGACCACAGGCAAGGGGGATAACCATGAACTTTTAGATACGGAGCGTCAAAACTATCAGAGTATGCCTGACAGATTCAATACAGTTTGACAAAACATACTGTATTCGTAGCAAACCCTTCTCTTTTTTCTTAAGAATTTGTTTTACTTTTATTTGAAAGGCAGAGTTACAGCAAGAGGGAGAGATGGATCTGCCAGGCTGATTCATTCCCTAGAGGCCACAATGGCAGCAGCTATTCCAGGTCTCCCGGGTGGGTGCAGGGGCCTAACGACCGGAGCCCTCTCCACTGCTCTCCCAGGCCTTCAGCAGAGAGCAACCAGGACATGAACTGGTGCCCATGTAGGGTGCTGGCACTTGCAGGCAGAGGATTGGGCAACTAAGCCATCACACCATCCCCGATGTTCACTGGACACCTTCACACATGAATACTGAAGTTCATCTAGTACCTTACTATTTTAAATTGTGCATAGTTGACTGGTTATGAGTTTACTGTTGCATTAACCTCTTTCAAGTGACAAACGATTTAAAGATGATTGTGTTACAAATTATCATGCCGTTTTATGTAGGCCCCAGTCTCCCAAGGATTAACTCCACAGCACAGCTTGTTTCTCAAGGGTGTAACAGGAAAGGCAATCATGGCCTGATACATTTAGCCTGTGGCTTGACTGCAATCTCCTTCCTTCCTGCTTCCCCTTGTTGCATGTCCTTGGGGGAGCTTAGGTGTGGCTTAGCAATCTCCCTCCTTATTGTTTCCCCTTGTTGCATGTCCTTGGGGGAGCTTAGGTGTGGCTTAACCATTGGGAGGATCCTGGGAGGGGCCAAGCAGACTATAAAAGATGCAGCTTGACTTCAAATAAACGGCATTCGGCATTCTCCTCACACGAATGACCCACTGTGTGTTGTGTGTTGTCTGTCTTGTCTGTCTCATAACCCTAGTCCCTCCGCTCGGGGTAAGTGGCGACGCGGGCGTTGCCAACATCTGGAGGTCCCGATCTGGAGATCGAGAAAGAGAGGATACACGACGAAGGGTCGTCCCGGGAAGCTGGTCAGCGGATAAGTGGGACGTATTGTAAGACTTTCCTAAACTGGTAGGAGAGGGAGTTTTCTTTTGAAATACAGTTTGGTTTAAGATTTATTGGGAAATATAGTAGGTTTTAGTCTTATTTTGAAACACAGTTTGGTTTAAGATTTGTTGTGAAATACAGTTAGGTTTAGCCTTATTTTGAAGTATTGTTGGATCTTGGTGTTTCATTTGCCTTGCGAAAAAGATGGGTTCTGCCTTCTCCAAGGATAAATTGGCTGCTGAGCTTGAAGAACTTTTACATCAACTGGGGAAGCCAGTTAAAACTAGGATGATTAGAAATTTTGTTAAAGCCGTTCGATCCAGTAGTCCTTGGTTTATTGTTTCAGGGAGCCTGAGTATCCCTGATTGGGAACAGGTTAAGGCTAATTTACAATCCTGCTTACAAAAGGACCCAGATTTCCCTATTACCAACTTTTCTTTGTGGCGCTTAGTCCGTGATTCTTTATCTAGTGATAAGGTGGAAATTAAAAAACAGTTAAAAGAAGTGCAGACTACTTTTGAAGAAATCCAGGAAAGGGAGGTTCTGCGGTCTGTGGAAGCCTCAAGTGAGGCCTCGAATGAGACCTCGAGTGAGGCCACCCTGAGTGAGGCCTCTTCTTTAGAGGAGAGTGAAGCTGACTCTTGGGGGAATGAAGCCTCTTCTTCAGAAGAGAATGAGGCCTCTTCTTCAGTAGTGAGTGAGAACAAATGAGATGAGGAGAAGATTCTCTTAAAGCAAGAAATTAGGGACATTAAAAGAAAATTAAAGAAGGCGGGAATAGATAAACATTTCTCTGGCAAATTATCCAATTCACGGCAACCACCATATGCCCCTAATTTTGTGACCCCTACCACTCCTGAGGAGGAAGCTGTGGGTCATTCACCCAATAAGTATCCCATGCGGCCCTGGAGTGATAGCCCCACTGATCAGCCAGTGGGCGGGGTTCGATGTTTCCCAGTAATAGAGGTCCCAGTTCGAGGGGGTCCCCCTCGCCGGGAGCATCATCCCCTTCAATTTAAAGACCTCAAAAATATAAAGCAGGCTGTTAAAGATTATGGTGCCCAGGCACCCTTTACTCTGGCACTAGTAGAGTCCTTTTCAAGTTTGAATCTTACTCCTAGTGATTGGATGCAATTATGCCGTTCCGCTCTGGATGGCGGTGATTTTCTCCTATCGAGAGGGGACTTTCAGGATAGGTGCAGAAATTTTGCTGAGCAGAATGCAGCTGTGGGACATGCAGATCGAAGCCTTGAAATGCTTACTGGCACTGGACCTTTTGAAGGCATCCAACAACAAGTTAATTATGATTTAGGAGTTTATGCACAGATAACAAATGCAGCCCTTGGAGCCTGGAAGGCTTTACCTAACGCTAATACAGGAGACCAGCTTTCTAAGGTCTTGCAAGGCCCTGCAGAACCTTTTCAAGAATTTGTGGACCGTATTATGCAGGTTGCTACTAAGATCTTTGGTAACCTAGAACCAGCTATGTCAGTAATTAGACATATAGCTTTTGAGAATGCCAATAAATATTGCCAGGATGCTCTTCGGTCCCATAGAGATAAGTCTCTGCATGATTACCTTAAAATTTGCAGACATATTGATTCCACCCATGCCCTTGGGCAAGTGATAGCAGCTGCTGTTCAATACCCTCAGCCCCACCCTAGGGCGCGTCCTAAAGCCTGTTTCGGATGCGGACAGCCTGGACATTTTAAAAAACAGTGTCCTAAAATTCCGCGGCAAGGAAGATCACCCCCCACAATCCTTGCCAGTCCCAGATATCTGTAGCAGATGCCATAAAGGCTATCATTGGGACAGCAATTGTAGGTCCAGGTATGATGCCCAAGGCAATCCCTTATCGGGAAACGGGGTCAGGGGCCCGCTCCGGGCCCCCCAACCTCAGGTGTACGGAGCCCAGCAGACACCTGTAGCTTCTGGAACAGCACCAACTCCTTTCAGAGTCCCGCTCCCACGGCAAGGAATGCAGACATTTCAACTCTCCTCAGAGCAACACCAGGTAGCGCAGGACTGGACCTCTGTGCCGCCTCCGGAGAGGTATTGACCCCACTCCTGGGGCCCCAGCAGATAAAGACAGGAGTCAGGGGCCCCTTGCCTAAGAATACCTTGGGCCTGATCCTAGGAAGAAGCAGTGCTACCATGCATGGAATCAGAGTACTCCCAGGAGTGATAGATGAGGATACCCCCGCAGAAATAGAAGTCATGGTAGAATCAGCCAAAGGCACTATCATCATTCCACCAGGAGCGAGATTTGCCCAGCTGATCTTGATCCCTAAGGTTCCAACAGACAACCCTATTCATAAAAGAGATAGACAAGGAGGCTTTGGTGATTCCGGCCCCTTGGCATGTTGGGTCTCCGACATGCAAACCCGACCTACCTTGCAGTTAGAGATAGAAGGGATAAAATTCACAGGATTACTTGATACTGGGGCAGATACTACAGTTATATCCCAGGCAATGTGGCCAAGCTCCTGGCCGTTAGAGGCCACCCCAACCATTCTCCAAGGGATAGGAACTTCTCAACCACAGAAAAGTGCTAGGTTGTTAAGGTGGAAGGATCAAGAGGGTCATTCAGGAATTTTCCAGCCATATGTTTTACCACATATTCCCATCAACCTGTGGGGACGAGATTTGCTGAGTGCCATGAATGTTGTGTTGACCTCTCAGCCTGTGCCAAATATGCTTAATAGACAAGGATACTTTCCTGGAAAGGGCTTGGGCAGACATCTTCAAGGTGACCCCCAACCAGTCTGTGATAAAGAGATTGAAGTTCGTAGCCCAGGGGATAGAACAGGGTTAGGACATTTTTTGCAGGGGCCATTGTAGAGCAGCCTCGTCAGTTAGAGGAGCCCATTAAATTAACATGGAAAACAGATGAACCTGTTTGGGTTGAACAATGGCCCCTTTCAAGCAAAAAATTAGAGGCTGCAATTGAATTGGTAAAGGAGCAGCTTGAGGCTGGACATATTGTTCCATCCACCTCTCCTTGGAACACCCCAATTTTCGTTATTAAAAAGAAAAATGGCAACTGGAGGCTTTTACAAGATTTACGTGCAGTAAATGCTGTCATGGCCCCTATGGGGGCCACGCAACCTGGTTTGCCATCTCCTGTGGGAATACCAAAAGATTGGCATATGCTTGTGTTAGATTTAAAAGACTGCTTTTTCTCCATTCCCTTGCACCTGGAAGATGCTCCGCGTTTTGCCTTTACCTTACCGTCCATCAATCTAAAAGCGCCTTCCCAGCGTTTCCATTGGGTTGTCCTCCCTCAGGGGATGATGAACAGTTCTACTATTTGTCAGATCTATGTGGATAAGGCCTTAAAAAGAATTAGATCACAATTTCCAAATATCTATTTGATCCATTATATGGATGATCTTTTGATCGCGGCTGAAACTCGTTCCATCCTATCCTCAGCAGCACAATGTATTTATCAGGCTTTAGCCACAGCCGGATTGGTTGTTGCCCCGGATAAAATTCAGACAGATTTTCCTTATCAGTATTTAGGCCATCAGCTTTTGCCAACTGGTGTCACCCCTCAGAATTTGACCATCAGATTAAGTGATGTGAAAACTTTGAATGATTTGCAGAGTTTGTTAGGTGATATTAATTGGATCCGACCAATTTTGCATATTTCTACTGGGCAACTCAAGCCCCTTTTTGATATTCTTAAAGGTGATCCAGATCCTTCATCACCCAGATAACTGTCCAAAGAAGGCAGGGAATGTCTGCAGCTAGTCCAGCATGCCATTCAGAATGCTCATGTCAGTTATGTGGATTATAAGGCGCCAATGCGGTTGTTGGTTTTTCCTTCCAATCACGCGCCTACAGCAGTGTTTTGGCAGACTGGACCTATATATTGGGTCCACTCCCCAGCATCCACTGGACAAATTGTGCAATCCTATCCCACTGCTGTTATATCTTTGTTGTATAAGGCATGCAAGATCAGCCTGCAGATTTTAGGGAAATATCCTGATTTCATCTCCATTCCCTATGATTCCCAACAGGTGGCGTGGCTACAAAATAATATTGATGATTGGTCTGTCTTTTGTGCCACGGTTTCTTCTCAGTTAATTAATCATTATCCTTCCCATCCCTTAGTGCAGTTTTTCAAAAGACATCCGGTTGTTTTTCCCAATCGCACCCTTAAAGTTTATCTAGAAAAAATAAAGAAAGGGGATGTAGCCGAACACTGCAGCTCTCCCCATTCCCTACTGGCATCCGCCATCTATGTGTTAAATTTTTTAACTGTCACCAATGATGTAGTTCCTGCAGAGCGCCATTGGCTACGCTCTGCTAATGAGAATAAAGGCCAAGTAAAATGGAAAGATCTGGCCACAAATAAATGGCGGGGACCAGACCCAGTACTAACATGGGGGCGAGGCTCCGTTTGTGTTTTTCCTCAGGATGAAGAAACGCCGAGATGGGTTCCCGAGAGACTTACACGACAAATCTCCCTGGCTCCAACTCAGCATGATCCCACTCCGAATGATGTTCTTGCAGGATAAAAGCCATTGGGAGGAGGACACCCTGACAGCAGTGGTGCAACTTCCTGGTATCCTGCCCATGGGAAATGCAGATCTTCAGCTACTACCTCAATTTAACATCATATACGTGTTACCCCCGTGAAATGGCATTCAACTGAGAGCAGGGATGTTATAGGAATGGAGTGGAGTCTTAGCCATGGGATTAATGGCTACAGCCATGTTTGCAGTACTGTTTACTCCTCTTTGCCACCTAGGCAACAAGCCCTGGAGCAGGTCATCATTTGAACTATGATGACTTTAGCTGTGGAAAATCCTAGAGCTCAATTCTAGTTGAGCATGATGTGTAATGGGCAGCCAGAGACGGGTAAGATCTGGCAGAGCTGATGACCAACCTAAGACAGGGATCCCACGTGCCCCGGGTGGGGCTCCCCATGACGGGTAAGGCATCAACTGACTGCTGGACAACCTAAGACAGGCGTCCATTAAAAAACAAAAAAGGGGGAGATATAGGCCCCAGTCTCCCAAGGATTAACTCCACAGCACAGCTTGTTTCTCAAGGGTGTAACAGGAAAGGCAATCATGGCCTGATACATTTAGCCTGTGGCTTGACTGCAATCTCCTTCCTTCCTGCTTCCCCTTGTTGCATGTCCTTGGGGGAGCTTAGGTGTGGCTTAGCAATCTCCCTCCTTATTGTTTCCCCTTGTTGCATGTCCTTAGGGGAGCTTAGGTGTGGCTTAACCATTGGGAGGATCCTGGGAGGGGCCAAGCAGACTATAAAAGATGCAGCTTGACTTCAAATAAACAGCATTCGGCATTCTCCTCACACGAATGACCCACTGTGTGTTGTGTGTTGTCTGTCTTGTCTGTCTCATAACCCTAGTCCCTCCGCTCGACTTGGAGACTTGGAGCTCGGGGTACGTGGCGACGCGGGCGTTGCCAACAGTCTTCTTACAGGTAGGATTGTTGATTGATGAGGTTATTCTGAGAAATTGCTGGTCTCCTGTCGGGCCAGGTCTAGATACGCAGTTCTAATAGGAATCGCTCAGAATGATGTATTCACAGCTTTGATCGCTTCAGCCTTTGCTTGTGTGTGACTATATTACGTACATTCGGCCTGGCGTGCCCAAGTAGAACCGTGACCTGTTTGGAGTTAACTTTCAAATAAGTCTTTGAATTCCTACTTGAAAAAGTTGATTCACAAAAGGCACCGTGTGAAGTGCTCACTGATCCAGGCAGCCTTCTTGTTTCCTGATTTGATTTTTGTTTTGTTCAGCTCAGAGTATACCTACGAATGTCAAATCTGGACAACGCCTTTGCTCATGTAACCAAGACACAAGTGGAGACGTTGCTGCTTAGTGTCTTCCGGGACATGGTCGTAGTGTTTCGAGCAGACTGTTCAATATGCCTTTACAGTATTGAAAGAAAATCAGATGGGTGAGTATGCGTGTAGCATAGGAAAAGTCATTTTTTTTGCTCCTCTCTAATTTTGCCTCTCTAGATTGTGTTTTCTCAAGAGTTACTATATTGGGCCCGGTACGATAGCGTAGTGGTTAAGGTCCTTGCCTCGAACATGCCTGGGAATCCATGTGGGCACCGGTTCTGGTCCTGGCAGCCTGCTTCCCATCCAGCTCCCTACTTGTGGCCTGGGAAAGCAGTTGAGGATAGTCCAGAGCATTGGGACCCTGCACCCATGTGGGAAACATGGAGGAAGCTCCTGGCTCCTGGCTTCGGATCGGTGCAGCACCCCCCATTGCAGCCACTTGGGGAGTGAATCATCGGATGGAAGATCTTCCTCTCCATCTCTCCTCCTCTCTGTACATCTGCCTTTCCGATAAAAATAAATAAATCTTTCAAAAAAGTTACTATATCTTTATACTTTTTTGGATGTCAAAAAACAAGTAATTTTAATTACTATTATTTTACTTAGTAACTGACAGAACAAAAGGAAATGCTAACTCCTTCAGCTACTTAACTGAATTTAAAAAAAGAAAACCTAGTTTTTTAACTCTCAGGGACTGAATTTTTATCACAACTTCAGACTGAGTGCTGACTGCCTTAGTCTTGGGAGTCACCGGGGAGGCTGGAGGGCGCCCTGCGGCCTCGCACCTGGGGAGAATGCAAGCTGTGCTTGGTTTATTTCCACCGTCCTGGAGGGGGGAGAAACGAAACCCTGTTGTTACTACCTGTTGCCCGAGAACTCTTGGCATCCGGTCAGCTTGCATCGTTTGGACTGCAGCTCTTGAATCTTGCTTTCTTCTGATATTTTTTTGTATGTCTGTTTTTGTTGAACCAGTTATAAAGTACCCGGTGGCTGTAGTAGCTCAGTGACTGGAAACTAGCACAGCGTTAACACTTCAGACGTGTCAGCTTTAGTGATGGAACCCTCGTCCTCTCTGGATCAGCTAGGGTTTTTTTTCCCGTTAAATATCTCCACTCTTGACAGCTGCGTTAGGTTTTTTATTTGTTTTAATCTTCTCTCCTACGTCTTACTCTTCCTTTCTTGTCCCATATGTGTTCTTTGGATTCCTCACCCTCTCCAGTTGTGGCTGAAACATCTGCAGGAGACGGTAGGTAGCAGAGATGCAGATCGTCCGTAAAGCATAAGATGCTGATCCTGTCCGTATCAGGAGTGAGCCTGTGAGCAGCGGGAGCCTTCACTTGTGTGCTGTCTCTTGTTTTTGCAGTGTGCACACTTCCGCTGGCATTCAGGTTCTGCAGGAGGTCTCCATGTCACGCTACATCCCTCACCCTTTCCTCGTGGTGTCTGTCACCCTGACGTCAGTGAGCACGGAGAATGGACTCGTGCTGAAAATACCACAGCAGGTACCACTCCGCTGCCAGCGCCGCCTGGGCCTCTCTGTTGGTGATGTTGTAAGCTGATGGGAGTCGCGTTCGGCTCGCAATGCTGACAATCTAATACAGCTTGTGGGGAAATGCAGTTACCACGGTAGGCTAAGCAGAAGTGACTTGTGCATGGTTTTTCAACAACTAATTAAATATATCCTCACTTGTTCTTGTGCTGCATTGGCTGGTACAGAAACAAAAGATTTCTATACCACTTCAGTTGAAACCTAGAAAAAAACTAGAGATGATCTGAGTCAGGAGGGAGAAGATCAAGCAGAGGGAGCAGTAATTCAAAAGCCTACAGATGAACCTAGCGCAAAAACCTAGTGGCTTAAGTCCTCGCCTTGCATGTGCCAGGATCTCGTATGGGCACCAGTTCGTATCGTGGCAGCTCCACTTCCCATCCAGCTCCCTACTCGTGGCCCGGAAAGCAGTCGAGGACGGCCCAGAGCCTTGGGACCCTGAAGCATAGGACAGTCATGTGGTTTGTGGCATGCCGCGGTGACATCCGGGAACCCGCATCTCCTTTAGGAAGGAGAACTTGGCTTCTGCTTGCACCGCTGTCTTCAGCTTCCTCCTGGTGCACACTCTAGAAGCTTCTTTCATTCAAGAAAACAAAATACAGTTCCCGGTTTCTATGCAAGTTCTGCCACTGTAACCAGTTAGTCCCATTTGATAAGGAAAGTTACTTTGCAGAAGGTAAAGAGTGTGTGGGTGGAATGTGTTAGGGTCAACGGTAACTGCTTCTCGGGCCTAGCGCGGTAGCATCAAGGTTGTATAAGCGTATGCCCATATATTGAATGTGATTAAACATAGTAAGTTTTATAAGCATACACTTATATAATTACTGTTACATTTACATATGCTTACATAGCTAACTGTATTGTATAATTAGTTATATAAATACTCCTATTTGATTATAAAATTAAATATATGGAGGTAAGCGGGAATGATAACTTGCTTAAAAATACTTTGTGAAATTAACTCACACAGATGACACAGGTGTGACAAAATCATGATATTTGTGAATTCAGATGAAGGGAATATGCAGCTTTGTGTTGCTGTTCTCCGTTTCATCACGGGTGAAGTCTTCATGTTAGGGACAGAGGGGGAGTCCATGTATTCCAGGTGGAGTGGGCAACCCTTGCCGTCACTGACACTGCATCCCAGAGAGGCCTTGCACGGTGACCTGTGTACCTTGGCAAAGGGCAGATCAAGAAGTGCGTTAAGACAGTGCCCGGGGTGGCGGTTAGACCGTGTGTGACACCGCCTCCCGAGGGAGAGCGTCTGGCTCCAGCCGCCCTTCCCGGCAGCCGTGTCGGTGAAGCAGAGTGAGATGGAGTGGTTCCGGCCGAGGGGCTCTGCCGGTCACGGCCCACGTGCTGGGCTGCACTGAGCAGGCCACGCCCCGGCCATCCGCCTCCGTTCTGCGTCTGCACGCTCTTCTTTTTGCTCTGCCACCTAGCCACATTTTCCGGGTACCAGAGTGCCTACGTTTCCACACACATTTCAAATTCCGTATTTTCTCAATCCTGCAAATTATTGGTTATTTCTCGCGTGTTACAGATTTCTGAGTTTTTAGTTTGCCATTTCCGCGTATATAATCTCTTTCCAGAGACTGGAAGCAGAAAGGAGGAAGAGTCTCTGCCTGGCTGTTTCGCAGATAGGGTGCCCGCTGTGTCCCTGGCTGAGCCCCAAAGGGTGGCGACAGTTCCCAGCTCCTCAGCCACGGAGCAGCAGAGCCCGGGCGGAGTCTGCGTCTCTTCCGTCGGAGTCTTTCCTCCCTTGGTTCGTGGGATGCTCTGCCTCTCTGTTTTCTTACTGCCTCCAGAAGCCCCGATGATGCCCCTGGCTCCTTTGGGCCCCCTGTGGTTGTGTCCCAGGAAACGCAGCCTCACACTTACCTGCTGGCGTGTTCAGCTCGGGCTCAGTCTTTCAAATTTAGTGAAGGAAAAAGAAAAGTTTTTCTTAAATTTCTCTTCTTTTTTAGACTATTCCTCTGTATTTGAAAGGCAGAGTTGAGAGAGAGAGGGAGCTTTTATCTGCTGCCCGAATCCTCAGATGCCCACCACAGCCAGGGCTAGGAACCACAGCCAGGGCTAGGAACCACAGCCAGGGATAGGAACCACAGCCAGGGCTAGGAAGCAGGCCCCCTCTGCCCCCTCCTGGGCATGAGCAGGGACTGGGCTCCAGAGCTGGCACCTCAGTGTGGGATGGCCCAGGGCCCCACGACACCACGCTGCTTCCTAAGCGGCATCCCTCGGTGCTGGCACCAGCTCCTCTAGCGTCTTACCTAGGCCCCCTTACTTTGTTCCTATCACCCGTGTCTACAAGAGCAGCACGTTCTGTTTTTTTCTTGAAATCAAGATGCTGTTAACTTCTTCCATGTAAAAAAAATACTTGACATCTGAGATTTCCTCCAAAGCAATATTTCTCACAAATTGTGTGTTATGCTTAAGCTGGATGAAAGGAATCAATGGGAAGTCAGTTTCTCTAACCTTGCAGGTGGAAATTTTCAACGCCCGTGAAGTCTGCCTCTCCCCAGCAACCCATCCTAATTCAGATTTTTAAAAATTCTTTCCCAAAAGAACCTCCCTCCCCCCTTTTTAAGATTTATTTATTTATTTATGGGAAAGGCAAGATCTGTAGAGAGGAAGATGTTCCATCCGATGGTTGACTCTCCAAGTGGCCACAACAGCCAGAGCTGACCTGATTCAAAGTCAGGAGCCAGGAGCCTCTTCCGGGTCTCCCACGCGGGTGCAGGGTTCCAAGGCTTTGGGCCGTCCTCGACTGCTTTCCCAGGGCACAGGCAGGGAGCTGGATGGGAACTGGAGCAGCTGGGACATGAACTGATGCCCATATAGGATGTCAGCGCATGCAAGGTGAAGACTTCAGCTATTAGGCTACCGCGCCAGACCCAGAACTTTCCTATTTGAGAACATACATAGTAATATGTTTCCTGTTGTACTTTACCTGACTTTCCAAATCCTCCTTACAACATACCATCCACTTAGTTCCCAAAATATTCCTGCTCTGTTCCCATGAGTCTCATTTTTCGTGTACAGCTCTCATGCCCTAGCTCTTGCGTCTTCATTTATATTGCAGCTTCAACTAAAGCACCAAGCCCTTCACTTCCTCCTGTGTGTTTCTGGTTCCATCTTTATCCTGGAAACCTTCTCTTCCTGTACTAGGGAGATTAATTTTGTGGACTGTTGAAGTTCCTTTCAGTTGTAAGATGATGTAGCCCCCGCGCAGTCACCTGAAGGCACTGGCCACAGGCTGCAGACCGTGCTGAGCGCCCTTCC